CTCCTGCTTGGTTAGGACCCACCGCATAGTAAGGTTAATCACCACGGGACACAAATGTTGTCCCATAACTTTGCATGATTTCATAAGAAGCTATATATATATGGTTTATAATACTAGGCACTAATAGTTTTACTACATTATGTCTAATTCCTCTGATTTAAGATAGAGTACCCATGGCAACAAGGGTCAGATCAGATACCCATGGCGGTCCTAAGGCTTAGTGTTATAACCCACACTTACTTCCTAATCTTCGATGCACTTTTATTGAGCATTGTGTGTGATGGGTTCAACACAGAGATGACACTATGCTACTGGTAGCTAGTCGCGTGTTGACGCATTGTACAGACCTGTGTTCCTTCACTTCTGTCACATAAGACCTTGTGCAACACATCTATGCCAGCTCTGAACCAATCTTGACTGTTTGGGGGCTCCCTGTCCTCTCCCTTCTCTCTCTCTTCTTCTCCACTGGCATGCTCTAGCTATAGAATGATCTGAGAGCCGGTTGCACTGCATGCACCAATGTCTGAGTATACCTACCAGTCTGTTTTAGCCTTTCCTACCTTAGCTATAATAAGTCACCTGTGCTAGTTTTCCTTGTTGAATCACACCAATGTTAGTAGCTATAATCGCTACTACTCAGTAACTTATGATCTTTGTCGATTTTAAATTGTCCTCCATACAATGTCAGCGTCCTTGCACGTTAAGTCGACTGCATCCATGCATCACTGCAAGGTGAAAATTCATGACAAATACACTTCGCAGCATAGTACAGTTTGACGATGAGATGTTGTAGGTAGTATCCCTCAATGTGTCATCAGAATGCATTCTGACTCCCTTACAGATTAGGATTTGTTTTTTAACCTCTCAGGTACTACTTGTTATCTTAACCTAAGGCCGGAGTTCCTCAGCTACAGAGATCGTGTGTGATTTAGCTACACAGATCACCCTGGATGTTACCTGTTGCAAACTGTCCACATGGTCTACATATGGACAAGGCTGATGCAAGCTTGCCAACGCTGACTGACCACAAAAGATCAGCAGTCAGGATGGACAATTTATCATTCGCTTGGCATGCATGGTATGCTACCACGCTGTCGACTGATACACCTGTGTCCACTCAAACTGCTCAGACCTACCATGCTAGTAGGATAACCCAGGAAGCTATCTACATTATCATACTTGAACAGATACAGGCAGGCACTTTGCCACCTATTTATGATGAGCTTGCGGATGCTATGAGATTTTTTGATTATCATCTGTGGTGTTAGTTTTTCTTATTCATCTCAACAATCACTGTCCTGTCGATGCATTCCATTTTCTTTCTTTCCTTGTTTCCAGTTAGTCCTTAGAGTACATCTGAGTTCTCTGTTTTCGTATCTCAGTTCTCAACTGCGTTTTTAATTTCTCTTATCTGGTCCTGACATGTATGTTGAAGAAAGTGGACATGCAGGGTGTGATGGGGAGGTCTCCTGTACAGCAGTGTGACGTGGTCTAGTTGCACATCTGATCACATGAGCGAGTATCGCAGTATTAAGTGTGGTAAAAAGCATTTTGGAGACTTTAAAGGTTTTCATGATGTTATGTCTACTGCATTTTTAGACCGCAGTCACGCGCAATTGACCAATCAGATACAGAATTGCGGGGGGTTTATTTTTCATAGACACCTCGTTTCAGGTGTCTACTGGCGTTTGCAGGTGGTCTACAGCATCTCCCCGTACAAAAATGGCTATTCTCAAAAGTCGTGTATCTGCGCAAACTGGCCGATTCCGCGTTCGTATATGTAAGCGTAGAAGGCGCGACTGGCAAAGTAGCTCTTTTAAAATGCGTAGTGCACCTGCAAGAAGTCTGTGGACAGTCTCCGGAGCTCGCGAAAGTCAGAAATCACGTCAATATCCACGACGAAAAAGCGTCGGCTTCTTCAGCTCTGGCGATACACAAACACATTGGGCCGTGCCGTGCGTTGCTAACCCTTTCAAAAACGCGCACCACACCAATGAGGGCGTTTTTATGATGACGTAAACGATTTTTGACGGGGGGCGGGGGCTGTCTCCTCGGAGTCTCACACGAAAGCGTCTTGTTCCATCCGAAGGTAAGGAATGAGGAATGAGCGCAGCGTTGCTAGCTTGTTGCTACCCATTTGAACGCCCAAACACCAATCAGATACTCCGGTCTAAAACCGGTTAGACGCAGAGCTCGGTTGTCTACGCAACATTGCAACCCTCGGGCATGTGGGTAGCCGCCCTCGCTATCGCTCGGGACCCCAACATTCCACAGCCCCTCGGGTTGCATGTAGCGTAGACACCTCGCTTCCGCGTCTAACCTATATAATATGTTGTGATGTTTGTAAAAAACAGTGTCAATGTGGTAAATGTGACGAGATATTGGAGTGTAGTGTATATACACGGCACATGCAGCACTAATCCAAATTTTTGGGATTTATGCTTTCTTTCTACCATCAGTTCTGGTGTTTGCTGCAAGATTCTAACTATTCTCGTTTGGTGATAGGCGACTTTCTACTTCTGATTGGAACATGAGCTCTTTGTCAGATCCTCTAATGTAATGATAATGTTTTTTCCGGCGGAATGATTGCCTTTTTGACTCTTTCGCTCCAACTAGGCGTGATTTTCCTCCTGCGTACAGGCCATGGTAGCCGTCGTTCCCATACTTCCGCGAAGAGAGGAGGGATGCCTGGTACCACTGGTTGCGCATTGCTCTTAATTTTCTCCACATTCTAGAATTTGTCCCGTAGCACGCTCGGTGATCTCCGCGTTGGTTTACGTCGCCACGCTCTCGTATCCGTCTGCGTTTTGAGAGACGGCTCAGGATACATGAACAAGTAGAGCGCACGGTTTGGTGTCAAAGCGCGACGTTGGACCGACAGAGACTGGCAGTTACGGACGGTCTCCATGCGCACTTCGCGCGTGTTTTTAGTCTCGCTAGCTAGCAAGACTACGCGGACTATGACGTTGCGTACACGCCCCACATTTTCTGCTGATGCATTCATAATATTCGGAGATCGGATATTGGCGGCGACCCACGCAATGCACTCACCTGAGCTGCAACACACCCCCTGGATAGGCGCCCCTCAGAGTAAGGCTGAGTGATGTGGTTGTTATCTATGTCCATCCCGACGCTTCGACTTAGCTGGTCCTCTGGAGGAAGGAGCCAAACAGCTAGTGGATCCCTTAAAGATTCCCGGTTTTCTGTACTTGAAGAATGTCAATGATATCAATCTGTGTACGTTAGCTAAGTAGCAGAATAGTTATCCGTGTCTGAACTTAGGCCGACACACAGACGGTCCACTTCGGTGAAACCAACAGTAATACACTGGCACGTATCACTACACAACTCTGGGTATTTTCACAGATACCCATGTATTAGTATAGTAATCATTATTGCCAGTCCGTTAAGGTCAAAGGTTAGCTACCTACATTCTAACACTGAAGTGCAAACCTTGGCGTATTACGCATGCACGGTACCGCTAATTGATAGGCTGGGTCTCCACTCTAGTTGGTCGCGGAGAGTCTGACACAGGCTAGCTACACTATAAGATGTATTTATAGACAAGCGTCATGCAGTCAAGGGAGAGTTAAAAAGCTAGTTCTGCTCAGCTGCTCCTCCGTACATCATTAACTAGCCTACCATTTCTCACATGAAAGCATTAGCTATCGCCAGTGTCAACTGCTTGAATAGAATAGCGTTTTTCAATCTCAAAAAGTCCTTACCATTACTTACACACTTAAAATAATAATAATACGTACCAGGTATACCAAACTTAGTGTATTCCATTCACTTTAGATGAACTTTGTAAGTACACAAAGTGGTTCTATGGCCTGTCCAAGGAGATACGGATGTCTCTTGCTCGAAAACACTGGAATCCTCAGAGTTTGAACAGTTATCGCGGTTATTACCCAGTAGTTGAAGGAGTCGCCTGCTACAAGGAGGGAATTGAATTCAGTGTTGATCTCCCTGCTGATGATCCAGACGTGCTGTCAGATGTGTACATGTATGAAGCCAATGTCTGGCCGCCAAAGGATATTCCAGGGGCTCTGGAATTCAAAAATTATATTCTAAATTATTATGCTTCCATGAGTGAAGTGGGGCTTACAATCACCCGCATGTTAGCAATTGGGCTTGGAAAGGAGGAAAAGTATTTCGATGAGCTTTTCGTCAACAAACCTCTGAGTACACTGCGACTGATGCACTATCCAGTGAGGCCACAGCCAATACCTGAATCTGCAAAGAAAGACGGGCTAGTTTTAACTTGTCTTGAACACACAGACTCGACCTTCATGGCACTGCTGAGCACATTCGACTATGAGGGGCTGCAAATTATGCTGAAAGATGGTTCTTGGGTAGACGTTGAAGTTCGACCAGACTGTCTCGTGATGAATGCTGGAGATGCTCTCATCAAGACAACAGGTCAATTTAAAGCCACGAGGCATCGTGTAGTTGACTATGGCAAGGAGCGCTACTCACGTTCCATTCTTTATCGAGCCTTGCTACTATGGAGATATTGGCCAGTTTGAGAGAGATCTGAGTCAAAGGAAGATAGAGTATGACGAAAATGAACCATCACTCTATGGGCCTTGGGTTGACAAAAGGATGAAAGACAAGAATTTCTCTGATTTTCCAAGTAAAAGTCTTGGACAATAGCTAGTTTATCTGTACTGTATTTGTATGACCATTTCTGAGCTTTTGTTATTTAAATGCACAACCCATTTGCACACTATTTCACTAGAGAATGTGGCTGTACATACAACAGATGGAACTGGAGTTCAGTTTCCGTCATTTCCTATTACTGCCACATTTCTATAATAATGTTTCAGTACCGCAAAATTAGCACTATTAGCTATACCTTTGTGGTAAAGTGCAAACCCTCGGAGCACTGAAAACGCGCGCATAGCACTGCAGTGCAAAAAAAACACCAACGGCTGGGCCACAGTGTCTCGGTCTCAGAGCGGTGTCTCTCACAAGAGTTTGACACAGGCTAGCTAGACTACAGTTAGTGGATAGCAAGTTTGTACAAAACAATTTACAGAGCAAAAATCATGCATTAACATAATATTCTTTCAAACAGTGTGTATGTTTAGTTACAATGAGCTCTATTTAGAAACTAATGAAAGCCACGTGTCGTAGCAATAGTTCCAGCCTCTCTGTGATTGTTGTCTATGGCATCATCCAGAGCTGTCGATCCCTCTGTGCCAGAAACACCACATATGAAAACAATATCTAGCAGTACCTTTATGTCACTATATTACTTATCACACCTGCCAACCTATCCCCATGATAACTCCTGCAAAAGTTTCCTAGTTTCTCTAAAGCAATATTATATTTGCTAGGATAGCTGTTGGCTGCTAAGAAAAAGCTTTCTAGAAGTATATACTCGGAATATCAGCCCATGGAGCCATGCATTCATACTATTCGTCCCTGCTTTACGTTCACAAGATAGCAGCTGAATGCAAAATCCTATAGTTTTTACTATCTTTCCCTCCAAGACCTTAACAGCTATGTACACATGTGCTAAAACCAACCTTAGCTTTGTCTATGCTGCGGTTATCAATTAATTACTTGATTGATGTGGTCTATGAGTCTATGCCTATAGTTTATTTCTTCGATTGATTTTGAGTGCTATGTATAACAGCTATCTGTGCAGGTGGTTACGTGGTTCCCGGGAAGCAAAGGTTGTCGGTTTGAATCCCACTAGTACATCTAGAGCTTTCCTTTCTACCTTTCTTCTTCTCTTTCTGCCTATGCACTCTTCACCATTATTTCAGTCTACCAGGTGTGAGATTGGGAGCGAGATGTGCAGAATAATAATTCTGAGGTAACACGGTGAACAAAGCTGTCTGTGCCCTGCGCATATGTGTTTTCATTACTCATACCTTATCAGGTAAACAAACTGCTCCTGCTCTTAGCAGTAGTTTCACCATCTCTGAGTTGCCATTCATTGCTGCATAATGCAGTGCTGTGGACCCCTCCTGTGATTGTAAATTGGAAAACTTGAACATTAATATTCCTCTATACATAAGTACTCTAATCTAATGTTCTTAAGTAACACAGACCTATGTTAACCACCTTGTTCTGATGGTTGACATTGGCTCCTGCCTCCAACAGTCTCTGAACTGTCTCAGTACGCCCATTATGAGCAGCTATCTCCAGAGGAACATTGCCATACTGTGTGAGAGTATGAGAGACAAGTAAAATTGTTTGTTTGTCTCATTCCCAGACTGCATCCACAAGAAAGAGCATGTGTCACAAAAGGGACGTCAATAAATAGTGTCTCATATATACACACAGTCAAGTTTATTTGAGGGTTCTTTGGCACTTCTTTAGATGTTATCTCCATAAATGCAACTAGCCCCTCTTGCTTAATAATGGAGACTGGTGCTTTATCTTTGCCAGTGATTACTGGGCATGCCAAAGGTACCTTCGACGTAAGCTCCCAACTAGATGGACCGCAACAGTTTTATCATTTCTGATGTATGCTTCTCTGATTCTCGGAGCCTATAGAATGTTACCTTCCCAGCACTGCCAGAAATGAGAACTTGCAGGGTAGTTATCACAAATTATAGAACATCTCCTTAACCTTTTTGTAAGCCTGTTGCCCATCACTATTGTATGCCATACTTGTATTGGAGCAATAGGGTAAAACATTCTGCTAATATCTATATGCGGCAGATGAAACCGGCTAGTATTTTGTATATGTGCAATAATTATTATAGCTACACCACCATAAGACGGCTTACACATGCACTTTTTGTAGCTTAGAACGTGTGCTTTCAAACTGTCGTTTTTGCACATCTGTAGCTGTTTGTACAGCAGAGGTATATATGCTGGGATAAGTGATTTAAGCCTATATACAGGTGCAATAAAAGTGACCGGTAACAATGGTAAAAGCATTCTTCGACGTTTTCTTGAGCAGTGCAATCATCTGGTTGTTCCAAGATTTGCGATACCTATTATCCAGGGCTTTCTAATGAACACTAGATAGATATAAAACAGCTTCCATAGCCTTCAATCTCTCATGTGGACTCAACTGTCGACAGTTAGCTAACTTTTTAACTTTTGGTGTCAAGTTTATCGGCCTATTAGGTAAGGAGAAGAAAACAGGCCCAACCCAGCAACCCAACCTGCCACTAACTTCTATGTTATGTGCCCTTCTGAATTAGTGAGATCCAGAAGTGTGATACAGGCTGTTGCCAGGAGGTTGTAATGATTTAATGCGTTGGTATAAATGGTACTAGTAGTGATACTCTGTTGCATATCATCGCCACTCTGTAAATGTCAAGAGTTTTGACAAATTACTATGCACGCGATTATGATTGAGCAGTTGACTGATTGCGAGTCCGCAGTTAATTTTGCTTGTGTTATGATAAAAAAACGATTTACAATGTCTCGGGCCTTTTAAAATGTCCTTGCTGTGTTTAAACGCTACACCTCAGGGCCCTTGGCTTTCTTAATCGTATTCTCATGGCTCACAGTATAACGTAGTGTACACCTGCTTTTAAATCACCACGCTCAGGTCAATCAGCATCGTAGCACCGGCTGACAGCAAGTATTTCCCTCCATTGTTTACGCAAATACTAGCAACATAATAATTATTGAGAACCTTGTCTCATGAACTAAAAGCACTTGGCTGCTGCTCCAGAACAAAAATGTGCGACAGGCACAAGCCCAAAAGCTCCCTGAAAGCATCTCTGTGGCGACACACACACTCAGACGTAAAAGAGATTTAGACTCAATGTTCTGATCAATTTAATCTGCTGCAGTCTACCAAACGGCACCCATAGCCATAGACTCAGTATCAGAACACCAAAAATTCTTAGCTACTGACAAAGTCAATGATGAATCAATACAAGTAAAGCTACGTACATGTACCTTAGTATCTGCCAGGTGGATGTCAGCTCCTGCCTTGACTAGTAGGTCCACTACACCAGAGTGGCCTTCCTGGCTGGCTGCAAACACTGCAGTGCCACCATCCTGTGTTGGATAAAAGAATATTTCCGTTTAGATATTCAGACTTTTGTGCACAGCATGTAGCTATGCTGACTCTCTTTATTATCCTGTGTAAAAACTGATCTTGTGGGGTGTATAGTGCCAGCATGTGTAGAATGGTTTGTATGGTCTGTGTCCCTATTGCTTAGGTGCCATTTACATGCTGTAACATAACTAGAAGGAATGAAATAGTTTTTGGCGAGCGAATCGTTTGTATGGTCTGTGTCCCTATTGCTTAGGTGCCATTTACATGCTGTAACATAAATAGAAGGAATGAAATACTTTTTTGGCGAGCGAATCGAGCAGTTTGTGTGTATTCAGAATCACGTAAACTTTACGGAATATTCACCGTTACATAGGGATAAATTATAGAAAGAATCCTGCATTTAGACAAGTAGGTGGGTTCGCTTTTCTCGCCTAGAGCATGCCTTTTTTGACTTGACAAGTTGAGATTTTGAACTTCACAATCTCAAGCAGTGTGCATAATGGTTACCAACTGATCCTTTATCTCCTACCCCACGTCATTCTATGGTAGACACTGGACAATGCCTGAGCCATTCATATGTTGGGCTTTGTCCTCAGGGTGAAATCTGCCCCAGGTATGATTCAAACCCACGACACTAGATACCCTCCTAGGTGAGTGTTTAGAAGCTAAGTTACTAGGGCAACTAAGAGGGTAGGGGTTTAAATCCCTTTTGGTGCTTGTTGTCGAGTACACAAGCTTTTGTGAGGCAGCTAGTTAATCTAGCAGGAGCTACAGTCTATTTTCAGACGGGAAACATAATGCTATTGGAAGATGGTAATTGGCAACCTCCTCTAGTAAAATAAGCTTATGATTGTCAGAGGAACATAGTCATAACCTTCTCCTGACGGTTGACAGTGGCTCCTGCCTCCAGCAGTCTCTGAACTGTCTTAGTATGCCCATTTGAAGCAGCTATCAATAGAGGAAAACTGCTACTCTGAATGGGCATAGAATGAGGGACAAGAAAAGAGACAGAACATTCATCTCATCCCAGATCACACCAACTAGAAGGATGTGGCAGTCTTTAAGGCTCTGGATAGAGTTTGGATATCTGAAGGAGCACCTGGTCTTTGGTTGCAAGGAGCATCACAAGATAACTGCAACTCCACTTATTTTAATAACTGTGCACAATCTTATTATACTGTGGTAGCTCTTAAAAAGAATGAAAAAAGATCGTGCTCTGTCAAACGTGTATGTGCAATAAGTTCTGGTTATACACTCTCTATCTTCACTAGCTAAAAGAATATTATGCCATATCATGCGGACTGTGCTACATGACTCTGAAGATGGACAGTTAGGCACATCTTTGGGTAGAAAAAGGCTAGCTCTATAAGCCTTGAATTTGTTTGCCTAAGGTAGCTACCCACAAGTCCACCTTGAAACTTGTTTGCCTGTTGGTTCAGCACGAGTTTTGTTTCTGGTATACATTCTCTACAGAAGAACAAGCTGATAACCTAGCAAAAATTTTGCAATAGCCTCCAGAACTGCTCCGACTGAAGAGAACACTGTGTGTGTTATAATGTAGTACCTTTGTGTCCAGGTGAATGTCAGCTCCTGCCTGGACTAGTACATCCACTACATCTGTGTGACCTTTCTCACTGGCCAAATACACTGGAGTCATGCCGTTCTGTGTTTTAATAACATAAACATGCAGTTTGAGTTATAAATACACACACATGACATGTGAACCAAGGCCAAAACAACACAAACTATGAATAGAAGAACGTATGACAAAGAGGAATGGAACACACACAGAAGCATTCTTGTATTTTGTGGACTCGACTGCATCAACAAATCCCCGACTTGTATGTGTCTCATATATATCAGGTGATGGGCACAGTGGAGAAAATGTGGGTATATATAGCCGCTATTTTGTGTGGTAACACACCCACGTGTGTATACATGGTGATCTAGATTCGCCAAAAGCAAAATGTCAGTTAATGTCAGAGTGCGCCCTAGCCTTCGCTTGTGAATTATGTCATATACTGATACCTTTAAAATACAGATGGCCACTCAGTATTCTCTAGCCTTCAGAGAAGACATTTTCGAGAGAGGTTACCCTTGTTTGTTCACAACCTATAGAACCTAGAGTAGAACATAATTATTACCTTTTCTTTGTAGTTGACAGTGGCTCCTGCCTTCAGCAGTGTTTTAACTGTCTCTGTATGCCCATTGGCAGCAGCTGCCCCCAGAGGTGCATCTCCATGCTGCAAGAGAGCATGGGAGCAGTTGTTGATAATTAGTCTCTACCCTCTGCCCAGAGAGAGGATCTGGTGAGAAAAGGGTGTCTTTGGGTTGCTGACTACATATATTATCAGGGTTTGTAAACACCTGAGGGAGCATGTGCTTGGGTAGATTTGATTTGCATCATGATAGTGATATGCATCTCGGGGTTCAGAGAGTGAAGAGCCCAATTACTCAGAATGTGAATGGATATTATGTAGTGTATACATTGTGTAACACTGCATGTCTACCTTACAAAGAGAATGGAGCAAACCTTGAAAGAGACTAACAAATGTTGATGTATACTGGACCACAGCTTCTACATACTGAGTGAGAGCATACTATGCCATAGCACAGTGGTTTGAGGTTTGCCTTTGTGTTGTATTGTGTTGTAGATTCGAACCCCTACCAGCTGAGTTGCCCTGGTAGCTGAGTTGGTAGAGCGCTCGCCTAGACTGCAGAGTATTGTGGGTTCCAATCCACCTAGGGCAGCTATTTTTTCTTTGAAAAGAAAGATCTGCCCTAGGTGTGGTTGACTTGTTTGCCTTGCCTTGCCTTTACCTCGCTACCAAGTTGTGTTCTCTATACTTTTTGACTTAAGCAAACTGGCTGAGAGTGTTGGCTCTCTTTAACTAGAGTAACTTCATAAGGGAACGGAATGGCAATTTGGGCAGGTTACTTTGGGCGAGTGCAAACTTTAAGTTGATTTGGACATAATGTAGAAGTATTGTACAATCAGGCTGTAGACGTCACTTTGTTAATGCAAAGAACTAAGCTACAAACCAATACACATGTATAAGCATTGAACGGCCCCAAGTCAATTGTATAAACAACTTCTTGACCACGAAGCTCTTTTGCTTTGGCACCTGTTCCCCTATGCTTTGTTGTTAATGTCACATGCATTCGCAGCTGCTAATTGATGGGCTGGGCTACACTATCATGGCCTCTCGCAAAGGATCTGACGTTTTCCCCTCTGTTGTAACTTCTGATACGAGGTAAGTGAGTGGTAATTTACATGTTGGCTTGTTCACTTGGTTATCATGTGCTGTAACATCTAAACACAGTAAAAATATAGGTAAACTCTATGCTGCAACAACCCCCAATGACTGGGAAAATATCATGCATCTGCTTTGACCTATTCAAATGTTAGTTCAATTTTACATCTACTATATACTAAAGAAAACACTGTGTGTACCTCAGTCTCCGTCAGGTGAATGTCAGCCCCTGCCTGGACTAGTAGGTCTACCACATCTGGGTGGCCATTCAGGCTGGCTACATAGACTGGACTTGCTCCACCCTGAAGGGAAATTCAAGAGAAAACATAGAGTTGGTAGCTACACAATGAGTGAGAAACCAAGTTGATTCGACTGTCCTCACTGTACGTCACCACATATAAACTAAGACTAATTGATGGGCAAGAATGCTTACAAGGCATACACAAGGTGACTTTGTTTCATCATGCATGTGATTAGAATATGTCATACCATTACCTTGCGACAGATACTGGTATCAGCACCATTCTCTAGCAATATCTTCACTACAGCAATGTGGCCTCTGGATGATGCCCAGAATAGTGGAGTCCTGCCATTCTGAAAGTTGCCAAATAATATTTAAGTTGTATGTATCTGGTCACACCGAAAGGCACCTTAGAGGCTGACTATCCATTTGCAAATGGCAGATGTGTAAAAACCAACCATTACTTAAGAAACAGCAAGTGTGTTCTCGGAATCAATGTTAACTCTATTTACAAGACGGTCAGACTTGCACAGTGAGTGGCCCTGGGCATGTACAGCGGAGTCAACGCTCACACGGGATATATGACTTCTTGGAACTCTATCTAGTTATGTGAAGGAGCTGGTAAAGTGTAGCTTTAAGTACTGTGCATGGATTATTCGTCTTTATAGCTTGCTAGCTCAGGACACCTATAGACATAACTTGCATCACTTAAACATTAAGCAGTCAAACTAAACACGCAGCATGTTTTACATACCTTGTCAGTAATATTAAGGTCTTCTCCAGCCTCTAGCAACAGACAAACAATCTTAACATCGCCTTTAAAAGAAGCTATAATGAGAGCAGTTTCTCCTGTCTGTTAATCAAGCAAAAATAATATCAAGACCTATAGTAGTCACACTATGCATCATCGTCAATAGAACTTACAAGTGCAGTTCTGGAATTGATGTCGACAGCCATGGTTGACACCAGTCTCTTAACCATCTCTACATCTCTTCTCTCAGCGGCATCATGTAGCTTGGTTCTTTCCGTTACAGACCTAGGTAAAATTATACACGGCAAAGCCAGGTATGTGTATGTGTACCATTTTATACTACTGATCATTAGGGTTGTGGGTATTTTGGCTTCGATTCTTATGGTTTGATACTCACCCAGTTGGACGTGTCACTAATGGAGAATCATTCATTGGACAGGACTTCACGTGACTGTCAAAATCATATAGTTTTCCCTGCCATTGGCACCCTCTGTCGACATTAGGACAGAGGATTTTGAGTGATTTCACTTTTTTTCGCATTTCCTTATTAATTTTTGTGCTCCATTTAGATGCCCTACACAAGGGACATGCTTTTCCTTCCCCCTGTATTCTCGTAGCAGCTTCCTTTGAAAGATTTTGTCGACAACATGATGTAAGGTGTGGCCGGAGCATTAGACAGTATGTCACTGGACAGTAGAAGTCTTGAGATGGCTCCTTTACAAATAGATAGTCTGGATGCAGCGGACTAAAAGAAAGTTATGAGTATAATAACAACTTTTTTCGGCAAGCTACTCACTCTGTAGGCAAAACTCTACTCTTACTGGGACCTGAGCTTCCATCCTGTGCAAGATATTTCATGTCAATTGATGTTGCTGAAGGTATTATACATTTGTCACAAAACATATGGGGCATTACTCAATCTTCTATCGAAACACATATTGGAACAATCATAATAGAAACTCCATCCTTCCAACTCACTGACTTTGGAAACCATAATGCTTACTTTATCTGTTGGTGTAAGAATTATGTCGCATTAACTTTTACAACAATACAATTGTGTTACTTACAGGAAGCTGGTTGGTAAGCAGATTCAGCTTTTGATTTTGCTGTGACAGCAGGATCTAATATTAAAAAGTAATCACATCGAAAGATAACTTTATGAGATATTGGGGGGTCATCAACAACACCAGGAGAGACATAAGTGGACATATATCCTGCATATCATTCTAACGTGACAGACAGAAATGTTTGTCAGTTGCACCATACCAGTAGCCTCAGCTTCCAGTTTTGATGTAGCTTTGTCCGTACCAGTTCCATCCTGATACTCTGTGATAATGCGTTAAAAACACACAATATTACCTCTAATATGAAATTGTCTGTACCTTTACTTGGTAATGGGATTGCAGTTGCATCCTCAGATAAAGGGAACAGAAGGGTAGCCCCCTCCAATATTGAAACTTGAGTGGAGACAGAAGTGGTCTCGGTGGAATCAGTGGTCTCCGTGGAATGGGGGACCACAGTGGTGTTCGTGGAATGAGGGACGACAGTGGTCTCCGAGGGATGGGGGACGACAGTGGTGTCCGTGGAATGGGGGACGACAGTGGTGTCCGTGGAATGGGGGGCGACAGTGGTCTCCGTGGAATGGGGGACGACAGTGGTCTCCGAGGGATGGGAGACGACAGTGGTAGAATGGGGGACAACAGTGGTCTCCGTGGAATGGGGGATGGCAGTGGCCTTGGTGGAATGGGGGACGACAGTGGTCTCTGTGGAATGGAGGACGACAGTGGAGGGATGGGAGACGACAGTGGTAGAATGGGGGACAACAGTGGTCTCCGTGGAATGGGGGATGACAGTGGCCTCCGAGGGATGGGGAACGACAGTGGTCCTTGTGGAATGGGGGACGGCAGTGGCCTCGGTGGAATGGGGGACAACAGTGGTCTCCGTGAAATGGGGGGCGAAAGTGATCTCCGTGAAATGGGGGACGACAGTGGCCTCCGTGGAATGGGGGATGACAGTGGCCTCCGAGGGATGGGGGACAACAGTGGTCTCCGTGAACTGGGGGACGACAGTGGTCTCCGTGAACTGGGGGACAACAGTGGTCTCCGTGAACTGGGGGATGACAGTGGTCTCCATGAAATGGGGGACGACAGTGGCCTCCGTGGAATGGGGGATTACAGTGGTCCTCGTGGAATGGGGGATTACAGTGGTCCTCGTGGAATGGGGACGACAGTGGCCTCCGTGGAATGGGGGATTACAGTGGTCCTCGTGGAATGGGGGACAACAGTGGCCTCTGTAGAATGGGGGACAACAGTGTCGTTCATAGAATGGGGAACGACAGTGGTCTCCGTGGAATGGGGGATGACAGTGGTCCTCGTGGAATGGGGGACTACAGTGGTCTCTGAGGGATGTGGGATGACAGTGGTCTCCGAAGGATGGGGTATGACAGTGGTCTCCGGTGGATGGGGGATGACAGTGGTCTCCATGGAATGAGGGATGACAGTGGTCTCCGAGGGATGGGGGACGACAGTGGTCTCCGAGGATGGGGGATGATAGTGGTCTCCGAGGGATGGGGGACGACAGTGGTCTCCGAGGGATGGGGGAAGACAGTGGTCTCCGAAGGATGGGGGATGATAGTGGTCTCCGAGGGATGGGGGACGACAGTGGTCTCCGAGGGATGGGGGATGACAGTGGTCTCCAAGAAATGGGGGATGACAGTGGTCTCCAAAGGGATGGGGGGTGACAGTGGTCTCCGAAAGATGGGGGGTGACAGTGGTCTCCATGGAATGAGGGATGACAGTGGTCTCTGAGGGATGGGGGGCGACAGTGGTCTCTGTAGAATTGGGGAATATATTCAACACAAAGATTAGCAGCTGTTTATGATTCACAGTATTGACTATTACACTTACTGTGTTCAAGGCTGAATGGTTTGTTATTGTATTCATTTGCTAATTCCTGTAGGACATCTATAGCACAGTGTGTGGTTATGTATTATAATAATTATGATCACATGACAAGGTAACACACCAGCAGTATCGGAGTAAACATCTTGTGGCAAGGTGATGACAGGGAATTGGGCTGCTTCGGCTGAACCAGTTTCCATGCATTGGTCTGTGGTAGTGTTTTGGGACAGAGCTATAAAGAAGGAATAAGCATAAGAGAAGGAACAAGCATAAAACAACATATGCACAGCAAACATGCTAAAGAAACACATGACCCAAAAGGGCTCACCTATCACACTCCATCCCATACATTAATTCAGTACCCACACACATGGATGAGAGTTAAACACCAGGTGTTCAGCCTTGAGAAATGGGGCGGTGGGTTGAAGATTATTCATGACGCGACACACCCAGTGTAACCGTGATGTGCAACAATACCAATATGGGCGCCATCACCATATGGCAAACGATTGAACATTATACCTCTAGGTGAGAGAAGGGTACTGGCGACCACCAGGTGAACAAAAACAGCAGTCTCCACAGGATAGTGGACAGTGGCTTCTTTATGGAAGTCAATGGAAAGACTCACCATCTTCTGATGCTTCTTGACTAAGGAAAGGTATAAGTCATTTATTACTACATGCATGGAATAGTTCCATACCTAATTGTAGTTGAAGTAACAGATTTGCTGTTGGGTGAAACATCACGGGGAGTTTTCTATTGGAATGGTATATACATGAAACTATCTAAACCAATAATTATTACTTAATCAAATCACCTTTTTGTAAGAATAGACACAGACTCCAGCAATGGTGAGAGTGGCTACGGAATATTTCCTCAGAATGTCCACGACGGCTCTGGGCAACTTCCCTGTCAGTTTGTTAACGATCGATTCGGGTATGAACCAGGTGATTATGAATGAGCCAGAGCGGACATTGGCTACCATCATGGCAAACTCATGGACATTATATTGAGAGGCGTACTCCTGTCGGAATTGCTCGACAACCTCTAGCGTTGTATCATTTGGCAACTTAAACTCAGCTACCATCTCCTTGAATTCTGGCGAGAGCTCGATTCTCCTTCTCTTCTGTGTTTGACAAAACACTGTTAATGGTGTCGACATTCGGAACTGCTGAAGATCTGATTTGTAGGTCGTTATATTCTCCTTAACCTCATTCAAACTCAGCTCTTTGACAAGCCGATCGAGCAGGCTAGGGTCGAGATAGTTCCAATGCAAGTTCATATTTCCAAAGAGCACAGAATTGTCGACTGCGGTGCACAGTTGCTCAACATGCTTCTCCAGGAAAAGTTTGTGATATTCATCATCATCGGGTGAGAGTTGGGTTAGAACATCTGCAACGTCCCGCACAGCAATTTTACACTTTTCAAGAGCTTCTCGGATGCTTTTTTTCAGACGGTTAAATTTCCGTTTTAGTTCATCAATTTTAGCCTCCACTTCCCTGCCTGGGGTTGTTGAAAGCAATGCACCGCCTGTTGGGGCAAGTGTATATACACTGCTGACGTACAATTAACAGAATATTTAGTAGCTAATCAGCTGGGAAAACCTGGTGGGAGAGGGGGCGAGGACACTGCAATAGCAGTAGGCTGGGATTTTTGGGGGTCCTCATGGCTGCTCTTGAAACCAGCATGGAGGAAGACAGGAATTTGGTGTTGATGAAGGTTGTCTATGGAGAGAACAAGGTGGAACCACCGAAGTGGCGGAGCCCCTGAAAGAGACTAATATGTCAGGTATATAGCTATAGCTAGCTACCTGGGTGAGGTGGAGGAGAGGACTCAACAGAACTTAGAGTCGCAACAGTCTGCCTGGACTCTTGCACAGAATATGGCCCTAAGACAACAAAACAGTACATACAGACTGAGACAGGGACACAATACACCATAATAAATTCTTATAGACTTAAGGACACATTTATGTGTCCGTGGCTGGTTAAGTATTCTAAGAGCCTCCAGATGCCTATAGCTAACCTTACATAGGGCCGCTGCTGTAGCTAAGGTGGTATGTTCATGCTTCCATAGACATGCTTTGTTTCACTACTGTAGCTATTTACAAAAGGCCAACCATTAGTTTCAAAGCCTTGCTACACATCTTTCCATACAAATTTTCTCAGTTAAGCATCTTAGCTCCTGATCTGATCTATTTATTGTCTGCATCTCCTAGTTGTTGCTAAATAAAATCTCAGGGAGTGATTTGCTTGAAATTAGCTTACAGATAAGTAAACAAACAAAATTAAAAGACATAGGTCGATAAGCCAACCAGGCAATAATTATTTATTCAGGAATAAAAGTATTTGAGGAATAATTATCCCACTATGTTACCTATTCTCAATCCACACCAGATTTGTGCAAGTATGAAGATATATAGCAGATGTATTATACTTGGGGGAAGAAGGAATTAGCTAACCTAGCCTCATTTCCAGACAATATATACTTACTATACTCCCTTTATGTTTAAAATTTGCAAGCTATTACCTATTGAAGCTGAAGGAGAGGACTCCAGAAATTCAGCACCTGCAAAAGCAAGGACAGACCTAAGGAATGCCGTAATCCGTCACAGAGTGCAACGCTATGAATGTAAATAATTATGTAGTTATTATGAATAATGACAACATTAACTATGATTACCACAACTCTGTCAGGGGGAGGATACACCACGGTCACTTACCTAGTTCTTTAGCCAATTCTGACAGACCAATTTGTTTTAGGACATTAATAAAAGTGGCCCAGGTCACTGGCTCTTTCCCACCACCTTGTAACCAACTTGATAGGATGTTGTGAATGATGGTTATTGGTGATTTTGGATCACACACTATTATTGACTGTGTTATAGAGCCAGTATCATCATTCAACAAATGTATGCCCAGCAATAGATATTTGGCTCCAATCCTTTGAACGATGTTAATAAACTTCTCGGATTGGGCAGGAAAGGAAGTGAACATTGGTAACTTTGGCTTATCAGAGAGCTCAAGTGAAACAGTAGAACCTGTATGAGGATTGGAAGCAGGAGCTAATAGCTAGTTATGAGAACAAGTTTGCCACGTAGCTACGTGTGACTGGTTATGCACGCCTAGAAAATTCCCCGCCGAATAAACACATACCTGTAGCCATTGTTACCCGTTCTCTCGACGATGAAAAAGGAAGGTGGGGCACCTTCGTACTGCAGCGAACCAATGCGCATGCGCAGCTAGGCGACTACCGCTTCTTCATGTATTCCGATGCATATTATACAACCGACCATTCCCTTATCAGGAAGAAGGTGCAGGATGGCAAAAATGAATGGTAAACACAAAATGTGCAGAGCTCGCTTGAACGTAGCAACACCATTACTGCTGCGTTGGTGTTAAAAACTAGATTGTGTTTGCTTCGCTAAGCACATCAAGAGAGACAACGTCGTATTTTTCATTAAAATGCAGGCACCTTACTAATCTACAAGCTTCTGCGGGTCCGAGTAATGGCTAGAAAAGCATGGCCCCTCTTGAGTTTTCCCTCTATTACAGTGGGATTAGTGGGTCCTGGCCCCGATGGGGCCTCTGGAGAACCTGGAGCTGCTGCTGGAGTTAAAGTCAGCTGAGAAGGGCCAGAGACCGCTTGATGGAAATCGGGCAGCAAAAGCATATGTTGCGGCCGCACGGTGTGCCTGGTAGCTACAAAGATCACAAATCCGGAAGAGCTTGAGCTGTCCTTCGCACACTAGCATGAAAATCACCCCCATACTATTCCAGCACGACTGGTTAAACGACGTACGCTGGAGAACGGACGACGAACGGTTACTACACAACGACGATAGAATACAATTGGAATACGTTTTCACTATTTTTGTCGCATTCGGCGTTCCTTACGTGCGAGGCTAGCGTTCATCTGCGCTATACAACCCAGACCTTTACGAAGAGTTGGAATCCATTATACTGGTAGCTTTCCACCGGATAACGACGAATGAAGCCACACTGACCATACCTACCAACCTGCAGATGAACCTTTGCTTGAGAAATGTGTCAAATTTGCTAGATTAGGAGTGTTTCTGCTTGAAAATGGTGTGTGTTCATTCAAAATGCATGGGCATGGTGCATCACAGGAAAGCACAAAAAAGAGGGATTTGCCATTTCTGGCGGTATTTTTGCTTGATTATCAAGCAAAAAGCTGGATGGTTGGTAGGTATGACTGAACTCAGTACACACGCATGCGAATCACAAACGTGCGCGCCAGGGCAGGCGAGGAGGCATCGGTATAATTACCCGCGGTTGATGCAGTCGGGATCGCGCTCAGCTTGCTCTACTTAGCGTTTAGAATTTTCCTTCACTAGCTAAACTAGCGTTTAGGTTTCGCTGCAGTCTACAATCGCCTTCCGTTGATGGCATGCCTCCGCAGTGCACAAACAGCAACAAAATCTGGTGGAGGTACTAAATAGCATATTGGCTTGTTAGCTTGGTTTTCACGCCATAACCCTCGAACGCATTGCTAGAAGTAACTATACTGTTCAGACAACTAGTAGCTATTGCTTGCTCCTAAATGAGCTCAAAGTTTTGTACGTAACCCTTCTGCACTCCTCCTTTGCTTTTACGAAAATCGCCAAATTTAAAATCAAGCCGATGTAGTGCTGAACCTTTTGGTATCGATCTTTCCTTGTCTCGTAGCGCGTGGTGACAGAAAACGTTGTAGCGCCACCGCGTCTAGGATCGATAATGCGCATGCGCCCGCGTGCCGACGTGGTCATCGCGTGGTGATGCGAAAAGTGAACGCTGGGACTAGCTCCGTATCAGTAACAAGTAAAGCTGCGTTTGAATACAGTCGCACTCGCGTGGCGGATAGGCCGATGACCATTATTCTGACGATATTGCAGTTTAGCTAACTATTATAATATAGCTATATACAAGATCTGATCCGCTATCATCCACTCGCAGGGGACTGTGTGCAATGATAAGTTGGAAACTTTTGGTAGTGTTGGTGTTGCAATGCAGCTCCACGTCACTGACCAGCGGCCAGCATAGGCACGTATTGTAAACTATACATACAGCTCCCTTTTACCATTTTTCCACTGCAGTACGTGCACTCGGTTAACGACGGTAACGGTGTCAGAAGAGTACACTGTTCAAGTGAGCTATCAGAATTCGTATGGATGTGGTAGCTGGATGACGTGCTACAGGTATATAATTCTGATGCCGAAACTTCTTCAAAATGTAGTCTCTCCCTCCATGCTTACCTTTACCATTATTCAATCTTCACAGCATTGGTTACAGATCACAACTTCGATATCGCACACGAACCGTGTATCATCAGGAGCCTGGTTGCTGTGAAGGGTACCATGAAGCTGGAGAAGAATGCTTACGTAAGCACTCTTTCTTGTTGCATACAATATCTTTTTGCATTCGCATTCATGTAGCTAGCTAGTATTGTTATTCTCTAAAACAAAACTACTACCCGCAGCAACCTGCCCCGGGTGCCCTAGGTCCCACTCATGCCTAGCACCAGACTTCTGTGCCTGCCCAGAATACTGGACTGGTAGCGGCTGCACAGGTAAAGATGAAATTAGTTTCCTCACAGAATAATGTGTATAATTTAATTCTAGAGCCTCCGCAGAATGTGGCTCTCACAGCAACTGGGCCTGATAAACTGGAAATCAGTTGGTCACCACCTCCAGGGTCTCGGGCCACTCTCTACATTGTCATTTTCGAAGGCGTGACTCACCCAGTTCAGCCTTCAAGTAACTTGGTCATGGAACTGGATTCACTGACAACTTTCACAAGATACACCTGCTGTGTAGCTGCCAAAACTATATCCGGAGCATCAAGAATGGCATGTGACACACAAACAACACTGGAATTAGGTAAAAAATGCTGAAACAAAAAATGGAGTTGAATATTGCATGGTTTGTGAACTAGTAAAACATAAGTGTTAGGTGCTTATATGTTTAAATAGATAAAATAATGGTACATTTGGTAATTCGAAAATTATTGATGTGCCATCAAATTTGACGTATGACAGGTGCACTTACATTAAAATTATGATTCTTTTATAGCTCCTGGAGATGCACCGCGGAATATGAATTTGAAAGCATTGAACTCCACTGCTATACGCATCCAATGGGACCCTCCTCTCATTCCCAATGGTATCATCATCCTTTACACGGTCTACATCAATGGCAACCGACGTCAGAAGGTCAATGCTACCGGCAGCACCCAAAGCACTGCAGTTGGTGGTTTCACTCCAAACAAACTCCTGTACGTACAGCTGTCTGCCAGTACCAGCGTGGGAGAAGGAATAAAGACAGGAACTGAGAGGGTCACCACTCTCGAATCAGGTATATAACCACCGATTGCTTAAGAGGTCATTGTAAAGGAAATACTCTGCCTTTTGTACGTATAGTTCCTGGTCTAGTAAAGAATCTGAGAGTTGTTGTAAAATCTGAGTACATCCTCCACGTCTCGTGGAGCCCTCCAACCTACACCAATGGAGTCCTCACTGGATATACAGTGGTGGTTACAAACCTAGAAAACCCTTCTGACAGAATACTCAGAAGGGTTGCCCAAAATTTGCACCAACTGACTATTGACAGAGGAATTCGTAAGTAACGCTCATAGTAGTAGAAATCATGTAAAATGCAGATGCTAGCATTATGAACACACTCCAAAGGTGAAATTTAATATATAGTGCAAGGTGAACACTGTCCTAAATCTGATTCCTTAACTCAAGAGTTGCAGGAACGCTGCTTGCATGGGAAGCACACCCAACTGACTCCCCCCCCCTCCATCCAACACACACAGGGCCCTATGTAAGGTACAGCGTTTCAGTGAGTGCCAGTACAAGAGTGGGAACTGGAGAACCAGTTGAAGAGATAATCTATTCACAACAAGGAGGTTAGCAAACTTGGTGGTCATTGCCAAGTATAATAATTATAACCGGTACTGTAGTTCCACAGAGCCCCCCTCCAAATGTGACTAGCTCTAGAACCTCAGCCACCACTGCTAATGTAAAGTGGGATGGGATAAGATGGGAGGACCTGAGAGGGTGGCTGGTGGACTATGAGATTGGGTATGGTAGTGTGATGATGTCTGCCTATCAGAAGTGTCGTGCTAATGGCTCCTACTACACTGAGACGATGTCTGTCGATAGTGAAGGAGAGTATGAATTGACTGGTCTAGATCCAGGACTGAAGTATGGTGTGAGGCTGGCTGGGAGGACCAGTGCTGGAGCTGGGCCTTTCTCACATACGCATGTTCCATGTGAGAAAATGTTTACAACAGCACTATGATTTAATGATAATTTATATTTGACAGGGTACATCAATACTATTTTCACAGTCACACTAGAGATTGAAAACTGCACAGAATGGATTGTAAGCAATTTAATGTTGTTTGTTCATTTCAACACCTGTACATACCGTAATACACAGGCAATAAAGCCGGCACAGTTAGCAGAAGAACTCGCCGAGACTTTTAGCACAGGGATTAAACTGACCTGCAACTGTTTCTTTCCCAGCATCTACATTGCAGATGAACAAGTAATGTGTCACAACAAGGGTTTACACCTAGTGTTTACGGGCAGGATAATAAGTACTCAAGTCAGGGACAGCAGCAATCTCTTTGAAGACCTTCAAATGTGGTTATCTAGAGTGTTAACAGTAACAGTCAGAGATAAAGAGCTGAAAATAGAAAAGAATGAGAGTGGATCACTGATTGAGACAAATCCTGGCAATGAGTGTGACGAACCTCCATCTGACATATCTCATGGGTCTATTATTGGGGGTTCAGTTGGAGGAGTATTGAGTGTATTGCTGACTGTTGTTGTGTTGATTGTAGCAGCAGTAGCTGTGTGGCAGAAACACAGGCAAGTTAGCAACAGGAAGGTTTAATGATACATGCTAGTTGCAATAAGATGTTTACCTAATGCAGGAGTAAGTCATCTGTGAAGTGCAAACCTGACAGTTTTTTGGATGACAAGACCAGCAGGAGTGCTCCACTTCAAAAACACATCTCGACTGAGCTGCTGTCTCTTGGTAAACAGCCCCCTAAGACACCTCCCAAACCGCCACCAATAAAACCTCTGCTGCCACCACAGACACCTCCTAAGCCTGCAAAAAAGCCTCTCAAGCCTCCGAAAATATCCCCCAAGCCACTAAAACCACCCCCCAGGCCCCTACAAGTATTCCCTAAGCATCTAATAACGACTCCCCAGCCTCAAAAACTACCTTTCAAGCCGATAAAAATACCTCTAATGCCCCCAAAGAACCGTCCCACCCCTCAAAAAGATAAACAAACAAAAAAGTTTGCAAACAAATTCCGGTTGCCACGTCAGTACGAACTGCCCGTGTCTCAAAATCACAATGTTTACAAGGACCCTGATATAATGGAGGAGAAAGGGGGAACTACCAGCTTGCGCAACGTAGCCTATGAGGAGGCTGGAAGCGGTACTAGAGCAGAAAAAGAGGAGGAACTATACTACCCTGCAATTATGTGACGAGACGACAACAGACATAATTAAACGATGTGCCATATAACTCATAATGCTGTTCCTATGTGGTTTATACAAAGGTCTTTTATTACATATTTTGTCAAAGGCGACCAATCGTTATACATTGTAGAGCGAAACCAAGTTATTTCAGCTTAAATGTGTGTCCTAAGAGCACGCAAATGTGCCCAGGTATACGTATGCACATGATCTCAGTATGTGCCAAGTGTGGGGGGAAAGGGAGAAGGTAAACTGGTATTATAGAGACTCAGATCAACGTTGATGTTTCAACAACCAAACAGTATATATACACGCTAAGTCAATATCAATCGTACACGCTATTATATCCTAGTGAATATGTTCCAGAATGTTTTATGCCCGTGTTCTACCACGTGGCAAAGGTCGAGAGGTTGCCACATCACACCCCCCAGTGAGCTAGCGAACGAAGCTCATGACATGAGTCATTCTGGAAAATGTACCCATCTGCTGGGGCGAGTGACCCTGGTATATAGGTTCTGCTGGTGCTGATGGGGTGGGTGAGGAATGCAGAATGATGAGGTGGGTGAGGGGAGCTGTGCTCTGTGCCCTCTGGAGTGGCCTCCAGATAGACTGGCTTGAGGCAGTTGAGTGAGACCATATCATTGCGACTGCCGAAGTCCAGAGTGAAGAATTCATCCGTTTGCTTGAAAATTCTATTGGAACCGTCGTAGATTGCTTGCAGAGGGCAGCGAACTTTGCCATAGCCGACGAACACGTGGGCACATACGGAAAGGTCCCTGTATATAGTGGGTGAGAACAAACTGGGGTAGCTTTTAGCTGATGCATAGCATCTCTCAGACGTAGAAGAAAGGATGTGGGATCGCTGTCCACCTGCGCCGAGCCCTTCTAAACAAAACTCCCCTCGAAGACGGGGTGTCGTGCCATAGAGTAGTTTCGCCACGCTAGCCTGCATGCGGATGCTGAGAAGGACGAGGGGCAATGTTTCCATCCAGTGAGTGCATTACCTACCAACACTTTTTGCTTGATAATCAAGCAAAAATACTGCCTATATATCCCTCCAAAAAATCGAATGCAATCGAATGCTTCCAAGATACACTATGTGTATTATGAATCTTTGAGTATGGTAGTGTTTAGTATAATATTGTAAAGATGGGCGTTGTATAATACCTACCATTGTAATGTATGTGGCTTTGATAGGGAGTTTATTGGCCACTAAAACACTACTGCAGTGAGAGGTAGATGTTGATAAGAGCATCGTGAGAATGAGGAAGGGGTGTTGTGAAGTGTAGTGTTTTCTTACCGGTAGCTAACACCTGTTCAACCCAAAGGTACCACAGTCATGAAGCAACCTTGCACGTAAAATGAGTAGCTCTGAACCATAGATCCTGTGTTGTGCACATGCTGCTGAGTGAAATGATTTTGTCACAGTGCAGTGAATTTATACTTCTCTGCCTTGCCTTTGTTGGCCAGTGGTTAGTAGACCAGAACTGCTCAACAGCAAGAGTACTATGCTGTGCATCCATCATTGTTAATAGGTATCTTCCAGGACAAAGCAAGAAGATTCGTTTATGTTTAAGCAAACCCTGCAGAAATAATGCATTTGACAAAGACAAAAATCGAATTTTCACCATACAGGGCTCTTTTAGTAGCTCCATCGAGTCGTTTCTCACGCTAACCTCAGCGCGACGTGTGCGGGCTTGACGCGCATGCGCAGCGATTAATCACTGCGCTTGATGCACGCGGAGGAGACGAAGTTAGTAGAATGACAGGTATCTAGTCCAGCGAATCTCGAAGCGCTACCCACTGATGCTGCTAGCAAGCGTTAGAGCAAAAAACTCATGTCGCCACCGACCGCGGCCGTCAGCGCGTGGCATGACCCCGCCCATCAATATTTAGCGGTGTAGCGCGTAGTGACAGCGCGAGCACTTTTTGCCGAGGGTGTACCTTTAAATATATATTATAGTTATATAAGATCATGTTACTGGCTATATATTCAGCAAATCACAAAATCACGGCGTCTCCTATTACATAATAGTGTCGTCATCTAGCTGCTACCTCTATTGAACATCATTGTGGACCAACTCAATGCCACCTCTTCTTGAAACACCATCATAATTTGGGTTGCTGAAATTCTTGGGATCCTCATGCAGGTTTTCACCTCTTATAACAGGTATTTCATACTCAAGCGGCGTTGTCACTGTAGATGGCTTGCTTCTGTGGAGTAAAGATCGTCTCAGATTTTTTGTCCACCCAGCATATCACTTACCTCTGTCTGTACCACACCACTACTATTGCTACCAAAACAGCCAGTACTAGAGCAATTAGAACACCAGCTGCTACTCCAATAATAATATACCCAGGAAAATGGTTTTCAGGTGACTCATTCTGCACAAGTTTAAGCTCTTCACCCTTGGCCGTTATTGTTGGCCTGCTCGATAGCCACATTTCAAAGTCATCCAAGACACCAGCACTCTCTTTTTCTTGAGTACCGATTATTTTACCTGTAACTATAAGGACCTCATTCTGACAAGTTAGTTGTATATCTGCAATATAGTTGCTGGGAAATGTGCAGTTACAGGTGAGTTTGATTCCAAGGCTAAAAGCTCTGGCAAGGTCTGCAACTATCTCAGTTGAGTCTTTTGCCTGCATGCTGTGGTGTTTAGAGCAATTCATGATTTAAAAAACTTACAATCCATTCTCTGCAGTTGGGCCTCTCTAGTGCAACCATGAATACACTGTTTTCGTACCCTGTAAAGGTTGAATTGGAAATTCACAAGAACATATTATACAGCTTCTTACATGGAATGAGTTTGTGTGAGAAAGGCCCAGCCCCAGCACTGGTCCTCCCAGCCAGCCTCACACAGTACTGCAGTCCCGGATCTAGACCAGTCAATTCATGCTCTCCTTCATTATCCACAGACAGGGTCTCAGTGTAGGAGCAGTCATTAGCAGGGCACTGCTGATGGGCAGACATCATCACACTACCATACCCAATCTCATAGTCCACCAGCCACCCTCTCAGGTCCTCCCACCTTATCCAATCCCATTCTACACTAGCAGTGGTGGCAGAGGTTCTAGAGCCGGTCAAATTTGAGGGAGCTGTCTGTGGAGCTATAAAAACAACAAAGGGCATGAAAGGAAAGAACCTAAACTACTTGCCTCCTTCTTGTGTGTAGAATGTTACTTCAACTGGGTCTCCAGCTCCAACACTGGTAGAGGCGGTCACTGATATACTGTATCTCACATAAGGACCTAAACGAGCTCATAGCTAATTGTTGTAAACCATAATAAACCCTGGTGTATCTGCCGGCAAACACACAGTTTTGCTACCCATGCTGCATTGTGCAAGTTCCACGTATCAAGTAACAGAAAAAAGTTAAGGTTACTGAATACTTGATATAAACTACTAATGTGAGGGTCGTCAAGAAAAGCCTGAAATGCAACAGTGGCACAATATATACTGCTTTTTTCAACAACAGTTTGGGCATGGATTTATCTGCATATACTTATTTTGCCCTACCAATACTATGGTGTGTATCTTAGCTCCTTGTGTTTTGATTTTGGACAACCTGCAGAGCAACATTGTGTATAGTTTTGATAAGGAAATGGTGTTGTGTATCTTTCACTATTCATGAAAATGCTTCAAGGAAAACAACCATGTGAGTTCTAAAAGACAATGTTCTGATCTTGAGTGCTTGACCTGAGAAACCTTTATCAAAATGCATTAACTTACGAATTCCGCTTTCTATAATTATTGTTTCATGAACAGCTATGATTCTGGAGATGATTTCTGTGGTGCTTGTAACCAAGACTATGTATCCAGTAAGGGCTCCATTTGGGTATCGTGGCGGGTTCCATGATATGTGGAGACTCTTAGCGGTCGGTGCAACTACTTTCAGATTCCTTACGGGACCAGGAACTGCAGTAAGAAGCATATTATGTTGTTGTGAAAGTAGATGTGAAGGAAAGTAGCTACTATATATACCTGATTCATGAGTGGTGACACTTTGTGTATTTGTCAAAGGCCCTTCTCCAACTTCAGTACTGGCTGAAAGACTTACATTCACTATTTGGTAGGGAGAGAAACCATCAAGGGATATGTTTTGAGTCCCACTTGTAGCATTGACATTGAGGAGAAGGCTGCCATTGATGTAGACCGTGTAAAGGATGATGATACCATTGGGAGCAAGAGGGGGGTCCCATTGGATGTATATGGCAGTGGAGTTTAAGATCTCAACTATCACATTTACTGGTGCATCTGCAGGAGCTAGAATATACAACATCGTAAAACTAACTTTGAGACCCTCAGAGCAAATGAATATGCGTAAAATTGTTCATAAGTCAATCTCTAGCGTTGGTACAAAGATGTTTTGAATGTTGGTGGAATGATTACACAACTCCATGCGTCTACATTTTCAACATGTCCTGAGTTTAGCGACTACATTCAGCAAAAAAACATCACACACATACCTATTTCTAGGGTTGTTTGTGTAGCGCATGATATTCTTGACGGTCCAGATGCTGTTTGCAGCTACACAGCAGGTGTATGCTATTAATGAGTCTAACTCCCTGACCATAATTACTAGTAGGCGAATGCATGGCATTTTTGGCGAGCGGAAGCGCGCTTACAATTGGGGTCTAATCGTATGAGTCACTCTTGTGTGTGCACAAAACAGTGAGATACATTGCACAGGACCAAGTAGGCCGAAACGACCCGAGCGCAGTAGACAATTCGAGTCGAGTCAAAAACAGTCAGACGACAGCGCGAATCAGGCATAATCCGGCAATCTGATTGGTCTTGCAGGAATAGGGAACAAGTGGCAATGTAGAAAAATCTCTCGCTGGACTGTGCAGCAATACTCGATAGGTTCGGAGGTGTTGCGTTTCCCCTGATTCCGCTCAGCATTATGAAAATGTTGAAATCCCTTTCGGATAAAAAGAAGCGCGTAATGCTGGAGCATGCGCAGTTGGACGACGTACGGTGACATATATATATTATATATATATATATATATAGAAAAATCGCGCCGTTCGGACCACTAGGTTAGCTCGCTTCCGCTCGCCAATTATATATAAGCCAAAGGTTGAATATTGTAGGTTTTCTCTTGACATTATACAACATATTAAGTTACATCAAGCTGTGGAGGTGGTAACCATCTGATCTCTAGTTTATGAGGCCCAGGGACATGTTACTGAAAGTGATGTCTGAGAAACTTGAAGATTACTTTAGGGAAATAATAATAACATACAGACACACTCTCCTCCAGCACTGTGATATCCACTGCAGCAACCACTTTGGACATGGTACACACGATGTGAGGCATATTGAAGGTGTGAATTGTAGTGAATGCTGGAATTAAATTGACAGAGAATAGCTTTACTATACAAAGCTCATTGTGTAAATTTCAAGTGTATAGCTAGCTACCATTCTCACAGCAATATTTGTATTGGAGTTAATGTTAGAAAACTTATTACCGGTAGCATGTGCTCCACCATAAAATACCACAGTGGTATGAAGACGAGTAGCTCCTTTGAACATAATACATGTAGGTCTGCACTGTCGCTACTTGTCTGGTACACACACTACTGTGAAAATTTGGTCAGTGCAGTTGATGATTTGTGTTTGACTATTATTATGACTTGCCTTTGTTTGCTAGCAGTTAGTAGATCTGAACTGCATAACAGCAAGATCAGTGGCAAAACGTGTACATCCTTCATTCCTTCAGGCATCAAGGATATCTCTCTGCGATGCTTTTCAAGGTCAACACTTTTAAAAAAACTAACGGACGTTAATCCCAGCTAGGTAGCTAGCTAATATCTCCTCTCCGTGTCGTCCCTCATCTCTCTTGTAGCGTTTGCGCTACCGCTTCCGCTTTATCAGGTAGGCCCTGAGGGGGCAGAGTTCACAGCCGGCGCTAGAGACCAACGCTGAAAGCGGCGTGCCCTGTTGGAACGCATAAGCGATCCAACGCAAGAGCGATAAAAAAGGAATGTGATTTTGAGATTAGCAACGATTGTGCGTGGGCGTATGTTTCAGATATTTTTTTCAATGGCACAGCAAAAACGCTGGTGATTTATGGTGAATTTAGGGCGGATTTTTCCTACCTTGTTTTCCAAACTCATTAGTATATTCATATTCCTCCTCAATACACATTCTCTATGGGAGAGAAAACTCGTGCGCGACTCACCCAGGAGCGAACGGTCCGTTTCCATTATGCGCAGTGGCTTTCTTTGCCTGCTTCGGTACGCTATAGAAAAAACGGGCGTGACCGGGTGCAAAGGTCAACGTGAAAACGTAATGCTCAGTTCAGTAATAAGAAGCAACAAGGTCATAAATGTCTGAGCAGGAGGAAAGGAAGGCACAGAGGCTTTTCGTAGGTCTGTAAAACGGCAGAAAGAAAGATCACCCCAGCGCGCGTGCGCGGGATGAAACGATTTGGGCAGAAATACGCATGCGTGCAGAGGGAGTTGCTGAAAAACGCAGATCTGGCGCAGAAGCCGAATTCGTGACTGACAGAGTATGAAAAGAGGATAGGCTATAATTGGAAAATGGGCCCGCTGCAACGACTAGGTTGGTTCGCTCCCGCTCGGAGTGTATTGTTGGCGAGCGGGAGCGATCTAACTGGGACAGGGTGGATGCAAAAATTTGCGTTATAAGCCTGGTTTAGAAAGTTGTCCAAAACCAATTGACCTGGTATGTAGTGCTAACCAGCAACGGTTGAGCATGTGGCGAACATGTTTGTAAGTACATGATCCAATGATAAATATTTAGCCGCGCTCGAGAGGGGGGTGTTTCTTTCTGACAGAGTTTCTAGCGCTTGTCTCTGGCGGTCAGCTACTCTCATCTGTTGGAGGCGCGTGTCACGAACTTGAGATTATGGTGCTTCACGACATACCCTCCCCCGCGTCCGACATTGCGACAGGAGCTAAGGCGCGTCTCTCTCTCCTTTGCTCTCTCCGAAGCAAGACGCTGTCTCCAGCTAGAACGGTGCCTTGCCAGTCAGCGGTCTCGGGCGTCGCCGGTTTCTGAAGCGCGATGCAACAAAACAGAATTAATCTGTAAGAGAAGCTCTTCTAGAAATATTTTCTCACATGGTCGTCCGCTATGCCAAAAGTTGTCAGAGCTAGGGTAAATTGGAGAGTAAAAACTCCTTGCCCTGCTAAAAAAATGAAAAGCACTGAAGTGCAAACCCTCAGCGCACTGTGACTTTCGCGCGTAAGTAAACGCATGAGCCATACCACTAATTGATGGGCTGGGTTTAGTTTTAGCTGTTACTCGTGGTCTCTTGCCAGCTCGCGCAGAGTCTGACGCGGGATAACTACACTACTAGATAGCATGCGAGAGGCGATACATGCCCTGCGTTGCATCTTCTGGTGCCTCCGAGGTACGCAGAGCACGCGGATCGATCATGCGGTAGTACGCCATCCCGTCCGTTGTGTATTTGCATATTGGCTTTTTCCCGCTCTAGCTTTGCAACGGAGCGTTTTCAGAGAAACCCGTTCGAAATATTTGACCTTCATTGCCCGTTCAGTAGGTGGTATCCTTTGTGAGACGAACGAACACTCGAGAAGTGAGATGACGAGTAACAGACAGACCCAAGTACCGTACCCTCGCTGCGCATGCGCGCCGAGTGTTAAACGTGAGAGACGCGTGACGCCCCGCTCGCCGGTTAGGTTTTTCCTCCGGGTTTTTCTACCACGAATGCAGGCTTTTTACTGCTTCCATTGCAGTTGCGTATTTCCACCTTCTGACTTCCGTTGCAGTTTCCCCTCGTAGCACCCGCGCGGGAACCTAGCGCTCGGAGAAGGTGTGGTTCCGCGTACTGGAGCCTCTTATATACCCTTGGCCTTTTTTTAAAAACGGCCTGGGTACGAGCGAACCTTTGCGTATAAGGCATAGCGTTGGCCCTGATTGCGCTGGCCAGCGCGCAGGGTGTGTGGCTACGACTTATAGTCTCGTTGGAAGGTTGCCGTTCATTTCCAATTGCGCGTCGTATATAATTCCACTTCCATTGCAGTCTGCGGTATATAGCACAATTTGACACGGTGACCCCTCTCGGCCACCGTACTTTGACAAGTCCACTGCCAACGGATACTGCGAGTTCGGTTCTTATTGGCATATCTTTTTTACACCACTTTTTTTTATGTCTATAGCCATCTTCCTTCCATTTTTAGCAAATTCCCAAGTGTGGGTGAAGTAGCTGTTATATTGCCTCTTGAGACGCTGCAGGAACATGTTTCTGCGCCGAGAGTTTGCACCTTAGTGCTTTTCCATTGGTGTACATGTGGTGAAGGATTTACCTTCAAATTATTTGATATACGTGAGACATGGCGACTCAGGAACTCATCCATTGCTGGTAAAAGGCTATAATATACACCATCTTCAAATTTACTACAACCATAATTATCTAAACATGTGTATGCTTCTTTGCAAATTTCTGAAAAACTACACATAGCTAATGCTGATTAATTTTTTTACAGTATCTCTCTCGCCAACAGTTTCTTCATCTTTCTACACCCTTTCTGAATGCTGACACTCAGCTAGTCTTTTGTTCAGTTCTGGAACAAGTGCAGCCATCTCAACAAAATCCTGCAGGTAGAGAAAGAAGGAGGGTGTGCTGAAGAAGGGTATCTTCTCTTGGAAGCTTCAAAACTAACTGCTACTGCAAAGCACACTTGGACACTTTTGTATTAGAGCATTGGTAGACACTCCATATAATATGGATGGCACGGGTAAAATCTCACGTGTTCCGCGTACAAATTGTCTAAACACTCAGTGAGGACTCCTTAGGCCTTCAAAACACACTATATAGCAATAGTCTACAGGAGGTCCGTATCTATCATAGTTGATGTAGTCGACTTGTTTGCCTTGCCTTGCCTTTCTACCTCATTACCAAGTTGTTGAGACATGTACCCAGACTTCATACATGCCCTCAGTTCTCCACGCGAGAATTCGCTCATATGCGATCTCACAAATTTCATGTCATCATCTTCATCCACTTCTGTAAACCCGCTAGAGTAGCACATCAAAGGTCGGACACCATGTATAATCAGATAGGCCTCCATAGCGTAAAATAGAATATCATTTATTAGTTATTCCCGGATCTAATAGTGTTATAGCCCTATATAAATTGTTAAGCACTTATGGAGGCTCAGGGGATATATGTGCCTGTGGCTGGCTCAGGGTTAACACTTACGCCCATAGCTTCCAAAGGAACGAGGAAGTCCAAACGCGGGTCAGTTTGGTGCGTAGCTATGTGCAGCTAGACGGGTCAGATTTTAGATCGCCGAGGCAGCTGCAATACTACACAGAGTAAGCGGAAATACTATAGGTGAAGGCGACTCCTCGTTGGAGGGCTTGAACTCCGCTTTTACTCACTGGATGTTGTTATATTTCAGAAAGCTTCGTGAACGGAGATTTGCAGGGCGTCCTTCGGTAGATAAAAACGTCCGATGTTATGATCATGTCGCACGTCGCAAAAGTAGTCTGGTGCTCAGACCGTTCATAAAATATATGCGCACGCGTAAACGCATGTGTGAGGGAGGGAGAGAAGAGTCTGGTAAATAACTATGCCTCTCCACGGGCCAAGGAATTTCAGCAACCACTTCTCTCGAGTGGTTGCGGTTATACCCAACAGTGATGAATATCACTAGTGGAAATGTTGAACATTGTTGGCGAGCGGGAGCGACCGAACTTGGGATTTGCCAGCGATGTTCTGGCTGCATAACGTGCCGTCAGCGCATAGCTTAAAGCAACAGCCTTGTCGATCACTTGCTCTAGCTCCATTACTATAAAGCGTGACGTTCCATTACCCCGCACACCCTGACGGACACGCGTGCAGCGCTATCAGGACCCTGTGTGGTCAGTAATAATTGCATACCAACACCTTTTCCAACATTCCAGCCTTGGCCCGTGGAGAGGCATAGTTATTTACCAGACCCTTATCTCCGTCCCTCGCGCACATGCGTTTACGCGTGCGCATATTATTTTGTGAAGGGTCTGGGTACCAGACTAGTCACTATAGCAGATCGTGGAGCTCTTCCAGATAATGACGCCATTTGCTGCTGACTCAGCAATCCAGCTGTTTCAGGGGGCATTTCCTTATGCGCGCGCTCGCACACGCGTGCGCAGCAGCGTCGTGTGGCCTCGATATGGCCCCTTCTTTCTTCCTGTAGTCACACGGAGCTTGCTTTTTTGGACAGGCTGGACAGCGATGTGTTGTTGATTTGCGTGGGGAGAAACTTCGCGAGAGCCGCATGCATTTCCAATAAAAATACAGCCTCTGCGTTTCAATACTTCCCATTGTTTGTCAGAGCTTTTCATAAGAAACAAGTGGAAAAATCATTCTTCAAAATGAAGGGATGGCTTGAAGCACCAAAAGGGAAGAAACAAGGGGTCATTAGCTACACAGCAGAGTTGCATGACACCATCCCAATATCTTTGTCCTCATATGCAAAATGATATCAACCAAAGATATAGATAGGGATGGTGTCATGTAGCGTTGTGTGTCTTAGCTGTGACCCCTTGTTTCTTACTTTTTGGTGCTTCAAGTCATCCCTATATCCCTTCATTTTTAAGAAATGATTTTTCCACTTGTAAAATTAGACACTACAAATTCTGTTTTGACAAACATTACCCTTTTGAAAAACCGAATAATGTGAGAAGTCATAATACTACATATTTACCTCTTCTCTGGTGTGAGTGTCCCTAATCTTGACACCACCTTTCACTGTCTCTTCCTCCCCCACAATAACAAGGAGGGGTACACCCTCTCGCTCGCTGTACTGGAACTGATTGAGCAGTTTCGGGTTCCTCTTGTACAGCATCTCAGTCTGCAGCACACAAAAGCAACACCAAATACCCACATTGTCTCTGGTTTCATAGGGTGGATCCTCATTAAAATTGACACTTATGAAGATGGATTCGTGCTGATTCATTATTGTAAAATTTACTCAACCAAATAAAGTGAGCCAATGAATATTCTTAAAGTGAACATGCATTAAAGTTTTTTCCACTCGAATCCAGCAACACACACCTTTATCCCGGCATTCCACAGCAGCGTGCAGACCTTCATTCTCTGCTCTAAGAGGTTCTTCTGCCCTGAAGCAACCATTACCTGCATCACACAATATAATGTAACTTCTAATGATGGATATATACTAATTTTAATGAATGTTAGTGAATTGGTATAATAATCGCTAAATGCCAATATATAGCTTCCCCTAAATTCCATAATCATTACAAATTTTCACCCAGTATATCTGTGTCCTAAAGAGTTCCCACATGCTTGAGCCGCAAAATATGTTTGATGACCAATACTATGTTTAAGTCTTCCCTTGTGGCAATTTACGCTAAACTGCTTTTTTAAACAGGAACAGGTGGATGAAGGATCACAGTATGTATGCAAGGATGTATATATATTATATATACCTGGGTTTCAACGGTACGGATGCCCTTGCCTCCAGCTTCTTTGGCCCTACTCTCCAAAATTGAAAAGACCCTCTCAATACCAATGCTAACTCCCACACATGGAACGTGTTGGCCTTTGGGATCAAACATACCCACCAGTCCATCGTACCTGATCAGAGGACAGAGGAAAGGGAAGCAAGGAACAGTCATGCACAAAGAAATGAGGCCATGAGACCACAAATGCATCTACATTCCTCTGTGGAAGTGCTATCCCTTGTTAATTGAAAACCATGTGCTGCAGCTGACACACAAAGTATGCATGCTAAACCCTACCCTAATCAATGTTTTGCGAATGTCAAACCCCTCCGTAAGGCATTTGTAATCTGCGGAATTTTTTGCGATTGGCATCGGATGTGCATATATTTACAGTGGTAGCTACAAGCGACAACTTCTCTCACATAGGTAAGAGCTCAATTTCTTCTGGCTATAAACCATCAGTAGCTCTTCCATAGCCTCAATTTTAAGCCTTCTGTTATTATCATCTCCAACTATCAATCTTTACACTTTACATTGGCATATGCCATGTTTGAGCATTGGAAGTTCATACCATGCTTACTACGGCATGAACAAACACACCAAGTACTCACCGACCACCTCCAGCTACAGAACCAACTGCAGGAACCTCTCCATCTTTCATTGTAGCATCACCTGCACAGGAAGATAATTTTCCAAACAATCATACCACTGAGAAATTTAATTTGATATGCTTAATGTTGATTGATGTACTATACCATGCATCGGTATTCTTCAGTGCTCTATTTTCATAGTAAGAACTGCCCCATTGCTCATAGAGTGCTCTATTATGCCGGTGAATGTGGCTTAGGGTAGACATTTTCATATTAATTGTCCTTTACAATTGTAGGTAGACAATTCCATACATCCTCCACAATTATTGTTTGGTGAGACTCAACACTGACAAGTCATAATAATAGCAAATTTTGTACAGGCCACCTGTGCTGAAAACAATACTTTATGCACCGCGTCGATTACACACAGCCATAAACCTGAGTCAGAACCTGTCAAAATTGCTTCGTAGATGACTCCAGTGTAGTAGTCGAGTCCTCTAGCCAGACTCAGATCAAAGCTGACCTGTATAACACCCAGCATACATTTAACTACAGCAAGTCAATACCAATAGTATGGCGCTTGTTCATGTAGCCTAATTTGATAACCCTCTGTAAAAGGGAGGGCCTGGTAAGCATAATGTCTATGACATAAAAACTGAGTATAGCCCATAATTATTATTGACCATACTAACACAGTGTGCGCCATTCTGAGACAGAAATAGCCGTCAGTTTCCCATCTGGCATCCTAGCGTTGGGAGCTATAGCAAGAGGACAACACACAACGGTATCCTAGTGTAACAAAGTTCCTTTGACATTGGGAAATCTGCACGAACAATAGGACCGCATGCTGTCCCTTGCGAAGTCCTCCGTATGTGAATGGAGCAGACAATCAAAATTGTGTTGCATACCTTATCTAACACTCCAAAGAGCTCACAGTAATGGAGCAGTAACTTCATGTCCTCAAGACCAGCCCTTGCACTGGCAACAGCTGTCAGCCCCATGTCTGACATTAGCTTTTCCAGCAGCTCAAAGTGACCACTGAGTTTGACGTATTCCCCAATTTTGTCTGCCACTGCTTCCTCTAGTCCCTTTCCTTCCACCATCTCCTTCTTCACCTCCTCCCACTCCGTCTGCAAGGCACACACACACACACACACCATTGGCAGTATCTCCTGCTGGCCTTTGGCAGGTCATGCCTATTCAACACAGACATGCCAGAGCTCCGCATCTTTTTTCTCTTGGCATCACATGGTCTAATACCTTCATGCATGCCTTCCCATGACGTACACAACCAAGTCGTTTCAAGGCGGATTTTCCATACATGTCTTTATTGCTATATCTATTTATGTGTCAGGCTCTGTCTGACACTACACATGCCGTGGTGTGCGTAAAACACGCAGAAATTATTGCACTCTCACAATATTATTCCAAACCACAATACAAAACAAACAGCATGCCCAGCCGCTCCCGCAATAATTCAGTTACCAGCACTCCACGCGGTGGTTGGAAGCACGTATGACCCAAGGCAGGTATGTGTATCTTGTCTAATCTTGTCACAACAAGGCAGTACGGATGTAGGTAAACTTCCTGTGCATGCATACTATATACCTTCTTTTACTCTGACAACCTAAAGCTTTTCTGATGCTCTTTCTTGTATAGCATTGTGGGCAATACCAGCTAACCCCGTCGGACACATCTTCCAGTGGCCGCTCAATCATCGGAGTATTTGGACACCTACTTGCATTGCAATATCTCATTTCTTCGTGACTTACATGCTGTAACTGTCTCTATTACCTTGTGCAATCCATTGTCGTTGCCAGCAAGTTATGTTGTCGAAGATAGGCAATGATTCGTGGTGTCCCACCAAATATAATCTGCCCAAGCTGAAAAAGAGACATCGTTGCTTCCTTCCAGATATATTAAAGCGGCGAAAGTTTCCCGCGAGCGGGCATTTTTATCCAATTGATGTGCAGAGGTGCAGATGAAAGACCGTTGCAAAAGGTGGGAAAGGTTCATTGCGTTGCAGAATGAACAAGCGCACGCGCGATAGTTTAGAGCGGTACTCCCAGTATTTCGTGTATGGTGATGTTTTAGCGCACGCGTTTAATAGGGTTGTAATTAGTGGGTGTGGCTGAGTGGTTTAAGTGCGCGCGCAATCTTCGCAGAAGTTCCTGCCGTTCTTAGCAGTTGATCCAGTAAGCGTCGACACACATACACACACAGACAGACAGACAGACAGACAGAACGACTACTGCAACCCTCGCTGCGCATGCACGCCGAGGTTTAACAATGTTGTGAAACAAGACTATATACAATAACCTGACACTTAGTTGCTATAGTTGGGCGGGAGAGCAGGACGCTGTGCATAGGCATTCAAAAACCCGATGCACTTGTGTACCGCGGACAAAAGCCACTCAATCCCTAGCACTCTCCTTTCTTTTTCTTCCATATACAAACACACACACACACACCACATTTATCAGACGGGCTTTTAAAGCCACTCCCAAACTGGCTACATAATACACTATATAAGTTGTATATTGCTACTATTATACCTTACACACGCTATACACTGCATCAACGTTTTTTTGTGGTTCAAGTGTGCACAAGGTGCTCCACCCGTTATGCAAAATTAATACATAATAATTATACGTACCTTATCCAGTTTGTCAACTGAAGAGCAGATTGACCTAAACTTCTCTGGAGGTACTCCACAGGCTTCAAACATCCCATCCAGCACATTTCGATGGTTCACCTGCAGTATAATCACTCGAAAAATTGCAGAGACACCAGTAGCTACCATTCATCTAAGAACTGATACACCTGTATAGCTATACCTTAATAATGAAACTCCCAAGATCCAGCTGAGAAAGGATTTCATATACTATCCTCACACACTCGGCATCGGGTATCATTGGATCATATTCACCAGCTATGTCAAAATCCTGACACCAAAATATATCAACCCATTCATTACCAGGATTATTTTTACGTAGGGTCAAGTTGGTTGGTGTGGTAAATTTCCTCATGACAATGGTTTAACAAAAAAGTCTCGCACACAAAGGCAATAATATATCTCCCTAATGGCTCAATTAGTCCACCCTACTGCCAAACACTTGGTCATCATTGTGTATTCACTACCAGTGGTAACCCTACGTAGCTGTTTTTCGAGGACAGTGTTGCCACCAAACGTGCTCCGCAGCAGCCACAGCTTAAAAAGTCTTGGCACTTGCTGGAACATGAGGTATGCCATAAACTGGTGTGCTCTCATGGGTTTTAATGTAGATTTAGACTATTTAGACTACGAATACTGTATAGACTACTAGCTAAGGAGCAGAAAGTTAAAGCTCTTTGTGTGGATCACATAAAATTTAACCTGTACCATTCCCAAAACTGCCATTGAGCTCAAACCCAAACCATACACAGTATATACATGTATAGCTAATCCAGCTGAGCTTGAAGGTATCATCCATCATGGAGAAAGCCAGGCTCAAGTGAGCCGTGTTAGGACTCTGCATGTTTTGTCTACGAACCTACCGTTGAATGTTGCACATGTGCTTGCTGGTACTGAAACGTGGCAAGTTGAAAGGCTTAATACACTATTTAATATAAGCTACTCAACTGCTGCTGGGCTAGACTCAGCTTAACGCCTGCCACACAATATTAATCCTCCCACTGTATGAACTACTGCTGCTGCTAACTTACACATTGGTAGAACTCTCTGTAGCGACCAAGAGTCATTCTCGGCTGGTCTCGTCTATAGACTCTATCAATGTGGTAGCGTTTAATTGTCTTGATCTTATTCATTGCCACATAGCGGGCAAATGGTACCTATTTCACATACACTAGTTGAGGCCTCAAAGATCCACAGCAAATAAAAGTACAATAATATGAAAAAGCACTGAAGTGCAAACCCTCGGCGAACTACACTTGTGCAATACCGCTAATTGATGGGCTGGGCTATTAGTATGTCGCGCGTTGAGACCTTGGAGAGACTACGGCCACCGTCTTTTTCTCATTTCCGTATAGCTCCGTTCACTATAGTATACTACAAGGCCGACCCTGCTGCGGCGCGCGCGCACGCGAGTCACTCGCTCAGGCCGGCCGCCGGCGACAGTATTATGGGCCTCTGGCGCATGACTACTGTTCGTGACAGTAAAGGGAACTCCTCTTTTGGGAGTGTACAGTTATAGAACCCTCGAGAGACCGAGAAATCAACTTAGAAAACTAGAAATCACTGGAAAATCGGGTGGAAATCAGTTGGAATTCACGGGCTTTTAGAAATCTCGTATGTCCTAACGGCCCGTTTCGTACCCCTCGTTTCACGCCATAACTCTCGAACGCATAAAAATCGCCAAATTTATAATAAAACCAGTGTAGCGGTGAGCCTTTTGGTATCGCCTTGTTGCGCATGTTTTTGGAGCGATTGATGGCTCGTGAAGTTAGATGTCGTGGAACGGACTGGCTGACTGACAGACACACACAACTACCGTAACCCTCGCTGCGCATGCGCACCGATGGTTAATTCAACTTGCCCAAATTATTTCGTGCCAGCCTATTATTAAGATCCATGAAAATAGTAACAACCAATAGTTGAAAGCTTTACATACTCATTAAACTTTTTTCCTGTAGTAAAAAGTGTAAGCATATCAAAACTTGGGTTTCAGAAACACCCACAAACAAAGTTGATTCTCACATGGATGCTGAGTGTCCATAAAAAGCCGTCAAAATGTGCATTCAAATGCCAAGGAAACACCATCCATTTTAAATATCACTTCGAAATAATGGTTATGCTCCCCTCTTAAATTAAGTTTTAGAAATTAGCTCATGTCCGTTCAACCTGACCTTCCATTCCTGGTCCCTCCCTATAAAACTATCGAATTATCTTGGAAACATTAGGATACCGTGAGGTCATATCTGAGAGAGAGCAGCTCCCCTCCCTGGTCAGCCAGGTCATAGATCAACTTTTGGTCTTCTCCATACTTTCCCAGAAGAGTCTCCTGTGAGTGGAAAAGCAGAACACTTTCACTTTAGGACTATGAAAAAATTTCACAACAGTAAGGGAAATTGGAACGTAGCTATATATGGACTAGCCTTTAGCTCAAAGACAGGCGTACTAATGGAAACTGCTCCATGTCTCTTAAAACATGAGATGATGACTGAAAACACCCCTTCTCGAATGGCCATCTGGAATGGGTCATAATCCCTGGTTCCCTGCAAGAAATATTTTAAAAGAGCCCAAGATAAATCTCATTGGTGGAGCTAAGGACTATAAGTACCTTAGCACATTTAAGAACAAACTGACCACCGCTTTGCCCATCATCTGCTTGCTTCTTTGACTCCAACAGCTTCTCAGCATCCTCCTACATTGCATACAAACACTGTGCTACAGGGTTGCTACACACTTTAAAAGGTTGATGTTGAGTGCCTAATGCTGTTCTGTGCATTTGAAAAGTGTGGCAGACTTTCTCTCCAAAAAACGACTCAACCACCTCCCAAACAGGGAGATGAGCTCTGATGCTCAGATATAGCTAAATATCAGCCATAATGATGCTTGCCTTTTGCTCTCGTGGCTTGCCTTTCTTCAGTACTTCACCCTGGACATCTTGCTCTTGACTGGAAGAAGTTGCCATTATCTATAAATATGGGTATAATGTGGTTTTGTGTCTCCTTTTCTCTATTCACAACTTAGGTGATCGAACTGTAAGGGGCCCGGTCATCACGGCGCAAGAAGACCTACAGCCATCTCTATCATTTTTTGGGACCAAGAACTGAGTGTGTGTAGCAAGGCATGTGTTATGTACGATGGCCGACAAGTGCCATCCTTCCAATTTCTATTACGTGTTTCCATTTTTCAAATTCACCTCCCATTTACCATTTTGTATATACCTCCACTTTCCAAATTAACATGTTCGCCATCACGCTCGCCCACTATCAGATGATGCTATGGCTCATCAGAGGATCGTGGATAATGGACGCACACAGAATAACACATGCGCCGAGCCTTGGGGTTGCTGGTGCGGCTGGGAATACTGCCGGCCTGATTGCGCCGCTAACCTTCATGTTGACATTTTTACCGATCCGGGGCGTCCGGAAGGGGTGCGGCGACTAGAGCGTGCGGCCAGACCCTTACACGGAGGTCTGGGTAGCGACACCAGTGTAGCTAGGTCACGTCCAGCGGTCGGACATCCGACGTGTTGGCATGTAATATGAAGCCGAGAAATAGAACAGCAGTCTGCGCTGCGCTGGTCAATATCTAGAAGGTTGGGAAAACCGAGAACCGGGAAGTGTGAAATGGAAGCGTAAAATAAGGAGTAGAATATGTAAAATGGAAGTACAACATGGAAAATGGGACGTGAATTTGGATAATTGAAGCACGAAATGGAAATTGGAAGGACGGCACTTGTCGGCCACTGTAGATATGCCCTCAGCTATCTGCACCAGTTATTAATATACATTGCGGAAGTAAAAATTAATTTACTATTCAGCAAGAATTCGGGAAGCTAGGGGAGCCTTAGTGTTGGTATAATTATAGATATTGGGCTCAAACCAAGTCATGTGTATCTAGCAATCCTACAAAGTTAGTTGTGGGAAAATTAGTTAACCCTTAGCAAGCTACGGGCATATAATTATACATATATCCATAAGTCCATAAGAATTTATAATGGCTATAAATAATACTAGGTGTTAATTGGCGAGCAGGAGCGAGCCAACCTCGTTGTTCGTTCAAGCGGATTTTTCTATAATCGTTCATATGTCGTGTAAGTGCGCATGCACGGCTTCTTACACGCTTCTTTTTATCCGAAGTGATTTTCAAATTTTTACACATTTTCACTCACGCTGCCTCGCGATATGTACCGATCGATCTAGCCAGCCAGACAATTCTCTTCCATTCGACGGCATGCGATGCAACCTTCGGTGACTGACCGAGGCTGTACCTTCCCAATCTTCATGGTTCGAAGGTGCAACTTGGAAATAAGCTAAGATTGCTCGTGCAGATACTGCTGCATGACAGCTGACTGGTGGACCATGACTCTGAAAGCATAAGGTAAGTACCGTTCTGCTCACCTGCTCACCGTTCTGCCAATGTACAATACGCATGTAACAGCGACAGGTAGATCTGTCTTGCTTCACGAAAGGAAAGCTGTGCGCTGACGGAAGGTTATGCAGCCCGAAAATCGCGGGCAAGTCCCAAGTTGTGTCGCTCCCGCTCGCCAACAATGTTCAACATTTCCACTAGTATATTATATAGCAGTTTATGCTATTAAAGGAGATACCCATGGTGTCCAAAGGGTTAAGATAGGTTAATGGCCTTAATGAGCCACTGTAGATTCACCGTCTACAATAAATAGGAATGCGCCATTGCACAGTTAGCTAGGTGGTGAGCAGTGGGAAGTCCTGACAGATGTTAGCTATGCTCAGAACCATGGATAAGCGATAATATAATTAGAATTAGCTATATCCCCTGAGTAGCTTTTTTACAACAGACATTTTTACACTATTTCAAAAACACTACACAGACTTTAACTTATTGTATATATATGTCCCTACCAACCCTAGGACTAACAAGGCTTTTGCTGACAAGATGACGGCACGAAATATAGCCCTATAGCTACATCTAGCGACATGTGGCGCGCGCATTTTTACGCTACAATCATGAATACTAGTGGAAATGTTGAACATTGTTGGCGAGCGGCCGGGAGCGACCCAACTTGGGATTTGCCCGCGATGTTGGAGCTGCATAACGTGCCGTCAGCGCACAGCTTTCCTTTCGTGAAGCAAGACAGATCTACCTGTTCGGTGGTCCAGAACGGTGAGCAGGTGAGCAGAACGGTACTTACTTTATGCTTTCAGCTCGTCAGTCGTGGTCCACCAGGCAGCTGGCATGCAGCAGTATCTGCACGAGCAATCCTGGCTTATTTCCAGGATCGGGAAGAGGTACAGCCTCGGTCAGTCACCGAAGATTGCAGCGCAGGCCGTCAAATGGAGGAGAGTTCCCTCGCTGGCTATAGATGGATCGGCGCATATCGCGAGGCGGGGTGTGTGCAGAGGAGAGGTCGGACACGGTCACGTGAATAGTACAAGAATTTCAATTAGCGCGTTGAGGAATGCACGACCTTCGACGACTTGCTCGACCTATTCTTAGTTTTTTGACAAAACAGAGGAAGCATTCGCTTGAAACCACACGGAGAGTTGTTGTAAAAAGGATCAAAGTAAGGTACTGTGCATTTAGCTTGGCTCTAGGGCTCACGCTGTGTGTGTGACAGAGTTATTGGCGAGCGGGAGCGAGCCAACCTAGTCTTTCGTTCGAGCGGAATTTTCTATATACGACCGACCGTCGTAGGTCGTGTAAGCGCGCATGCGCGGCTTTGTACGCGTTTCGTTATTTCCACATTTTTACACAATTTCACACAGTGCCTCGCGATATGCGCCGATCGGTCTAGCCAGCGTGAGAACTCTCCTCCATTCGACGGCATGCTCTGCAACCTTCGGTGACTGACCGAGGCTGTACCTCTTCCCAATCTTCATGGTTCCAAGCTGCAAAAACGCTAGGATTGCTCTGTTGCATGCCAGCTGCCTGGTGGACCAGCTAACCCACGCCGCGTTGTCGGTCAGCCCCATCGATCGCTGCCTAGCCTACTGCCATGCCAGCTGCCTGGTGGACCACGACAGACGAGCTGTAAGCGTAAGGTAGGACCGTTCTGCTCACCTGCTCACCGTTCTGGCATACACATGTAACGGCGACAGGTACATGTAGCTCTGTCTTGTTTAAGCTCTGCGCTGACGGCACGTTATGCAGCCAGAACATCGCGGACAAATCCCAAGTTGGGTCGCTCCCGCTCGCCAACAATGTTCAACATCCTTCTAGTTAGTATTCTTCACTATATCTTGGCGAGCGGTAGGGGATCGCTGGGGATAATAGGATTTTCTGTATATTACATGAGTCAGTTGCAAATCCTCTCCGAATCCCGCTTGGTTTTGCTAAAGCACGCTCTTTTATCTCCCCATACATTCATTACGGGAAATAAATTGTTGTGTCAGCATAAATGAAGGGGTCCAGAGTGGGCCAACCCTCAATATACAACTCTTGCCGGTTTTTGTTCTATAAGGACATTTAGAACATATTTGAAGGTAAAACGGCAAGAGTTGTATATTGAGGGTTGGCCCACTCTGACTCTGACCCCTTCAAATGTCATTTACAATGACGCAATCCATGCGCATGTCCGACCTCCTCTGGGGTGTGTGTGCGCGCAGAGGAGGTCGGACACGGTCACGTGAATAGTACAAGAATTTTAATTAGCGCGTTGAGGAATGCACGACCTTCGACGACTTCCTCGACCTATGCTTAGTTTTTTGACAAAACAGACGGAGCATTCGCTTGGAGAGTTGTAAAAAGGATCGAAGTAAGGTACTGTGCATTTAGCTTAGCTCTAGGGCTCACGCTGTGAGTGTGACAGAGTTATTTGTATTCTTCACTATATCTTGCCGAGCGGTAGGGGATCGCTGGGGATAATAGGATTTTAAGTATCTTTATCACATATTACATCGAGTCAGTTGCAAATCCTCTCCGAATCCCGCTTGGTTTTGCTACAGCACGCTCTTTTATCTCCCCATACATTCTTTACGGGAAAGAAATTGCTGTGTCAACATAAAGTGTCATTTACAATGACGCAATCCATGCGCATGTCCGACCTCCCTCCGGGGTGTGTGTGAAGATGTGTAAAAATTTCGAAATGACTTCGGATAAAAAGAAGCGCGTAATGAAGCCGCGCATGCGCACTTACACGACGTATGCGGTCAAATCCGCTCGAAAGAACGACTGGGTTGGCTCACTCCCGCTCGCCAATCATTAGATATGACGTTTGGCCGGCCATAACGTTGTTGCCCATGCGCAGCTACGTACGCGTTGCCTTTCCTTCCTCCCCCACATCAGAGGTAATGGTAGCTAAAACGGCCCAGCCCCGCAACGACCTTTCTCCGCCTAAGGCCAATGGAAGCGGAAGTATAGCTATGGAAGTTGCAGGCCGACGGATGTGGAAGCGCGGTAGTGGATGGCCCTTACAAGCCACCGGAAAATGTAGCTATTTGCCGGAGATGCGGCAGGCCCAGGAACTAGGCTAGTAAAATGGGTGAAAACAAGAGTGTTTCTCCGCAAAAAGCTGTCTTCGGGACTAGGGAAGAGGAGCGCAATTGTAAAACTACGGATGTGCGCACAGCACGCTAAGTCTCACTCCTAAAAAATTTCCCTCTCCTTGCGCCCGTTTCGGAACGTAGCTAACTTCGCTAGCTAAGTGTGTCTCGCACGAAGTTTGCCTTACGGTATTGAGAAGACAGAGTTTGTTCTTGCCTCCTTTAGAATCAAAGTTACGAGAACTTCAGACAAACCAAGAGATGTTCTGACGCCCCTCTCGGTATTCCTGGAAAAGGGGTATATAGCCATCAGCACTCTACCACTAGCTGTACTGGTACCTGTTTGTTAGCTGCCGCTTGCTTCCTGACGCCCAGATTATACGTTTGTGATATGCAGGATCACACCCTTTATAATCGCGCTCCTGAGCATATATATAGCTAGCTGGGAGGGCTCGGTTATCGAGGGGGCGTGGATATAGTAGACGATAACCCCGAAGTCGAACGGTAGGGGCGTATAATACGCGTGCGTGGGAAGGTATTTAAAGGACTCTCGAAAGAGTGCTTCCCTGTTCCCGAAAAATAAGAGCTAGTCAGAAGAGCAGAGTAACGACGAGATGGCTATGAGGATCTTTGTGAAAATATGCTGCGGAAACACTGCAACGGAGCCCCAAACCTATGCGATTTCGTGCAATCCCACAGCAAGTATCGAGTCCTTGAAATCTCAAGCCTTTGCTAGGTGGCTCGAAAATAGCAGCGAAAACTCAGAAAGAAATTCTGATCAATTCCGGCTATGGTTGTCGGGAACTCCAGCACTCTTGTCCGATAAGGATAAAATTCAGAACGTGCTGCGAGAAGGAGATTTTGTGATTTTGTGTGAGTTAGCACAATGATATACTCTCCTTTATTTAGCGCTGTTTTACTACAATACAGGTCCTAAAGATGTTCCACAGACGGAATCAGACGTATGTTACAATGGTGGGCTGCCCACCTATGGACCGTATCCTTGACTAATTGCCACTATCAACGTGTAGTTGGAATAGCTATCCGCTATAGCTATCTAAGTAGTTGGCCCATAGACCATACGGCATGCAACATATTGAAAGTGCAACATTCAAGGGGAGCGGGGTTTATTCTGCACTGACGGGTATATAATCAGAAATCATGAGTGGCCTACGCACACGCCATTAGGTCTCTTATGATGCAGGGTCTCTAATCCCCCTCGTTCTACTACCCATGATATGAAAGCTAACGGTCAGGTTCCGCCATTATACTGGGAGGCGCGTGAACGAACTTGCGGAATAATCGCGCAGAAACACCCCTCCATTCACGTTCTCCCCATATACAGAGTCCAAATAGAATCTCTCAACGAACATTCATGGGCAAATAAACCACTAAGTTGGCTCTCTCCACTACTAGCTAGCTACAATTGACCAGCTGGAGCGAGCTAATAGTGGCGTGATTGTAGTCTTTTGCGCTATAATTGCGTTCTTTTTGCATTCCAATTATCCATCTTAAAAATGTGCAAAAATGCGTGCAGGATGTCTATCCTATATTAGACACGCTGTACCATCTACTTTCATAATGAAAAACACAAAAGTGCAAACCCTCGGCGAACAGCGCATGCGCGGTACTGCTTCATGGGCTGGGCTATTTGTACTCGTGGTCTCCCGCTATATAGTACCTCGCGGAGAGTCAGACACGGGCTAGCTACAGTAGTAGATAGTATGCTGGAGTCGATACATGCCATTCGTTGTGACTTCCTGACCCCCCAAGGTACACAGAGCGAGCGGATCAGGTCGCAGTAAGCCCAGTGCGATTATGCATATTATTGCCTTTTCGCTTGTTTTCACGGCATATCTCCCGAACGCAGTCGTTTCAGGAAAAAAGCCATTTTATATTTCATGCGCTTGTAGCACTGATGCTTTTGGTATCGCTCTTAGACAGCCTCGTTGCCTGTAGTGCGAGAATAGTCGTGGACACACAGACACACACACACACTAAGTGCAAACCCTCTATGTAACATGCGCAGTAAGTACCGCTAATTGATGGGAAGGGCTTGAGTATGCGTAGTCTCGCAGCTCGAAGAGTCTGAAACGGGCTTGCTATACACACTAGTGATAGAATGCGTGAGTCGATACGTTGTGACTGCTTCTATCTCCCTGAACTGGGAGAGCCACTGGAGATAAGGGAGTTATAGGGGAGGGGGCACTCCCTGAACGGGGAGAGGAGCCACTGGGAGAGGAGGGAGTGTAGGGGAGGGGCACTCCCTGAACTGGGAGGGAGGGGGTGGGCCCACTGCCACTCAAACAGTCAAAAGTAAGGAAAAGAGACAAGGGACAGATAAAGTGCATAAATTATGCTTAATCGAGAGTTGGTACTGGAAACGAAAAGGCTTTAGTGTGACCCTTGGTATGAGATTGCAAAACTTACGGTCTTCATCATCTGCTGCAGAAAGTAAGGGGGAGTGCATATTAATGTGTATAAATTATGCATAAATCTACTCTCTCCAGTAGGTATATTGTAGGCTGGAGGAAAGGAAAAATATTTCGTGTGACCCTTGCTATGAGATTGCTTAACTCAACTGTGGAAAGTAAAGGGGAGAGAGGTGATAGGGAAAGAGAAAGTGCACGTGTGTATAAATTCTCCTTGGATGAGTTGGGGCTGGAATTGCAAAATCTTTAGTGTGACCCTTGGTATGAGATTGCTTAACTCACGATCTTCATTGCTGTGAACTGTAGAAAGTAAAGGGGAGAGAGGTGATAGGGAAAGAGAAAGTGCACATCTGTGTATAAATTATGTTCTTGCTCCTTGGAGGAGTAGTTGGGGTTGGAATTGCAAAATCTTTAGTGTGACCCTAGGTATGAGATTGCTTAACTCACAATCTTCATAGTTGTGAGCTGTAGAAAGTAAAGGGGAGAGAGGTGATAGGGAAAGAGAAAGTGCACATCTGTGTATAAATTATACTCTTGCTCCTTAGAGGAGCTGGAATGGCAAAATGTTTAGTGTGACCCTTGCTATGAGATTGCTAACTCACGTTCATCCCGAGGTTCTGTACAAATCGAAGGAGAGAGAGGGGTGTAAGGGTTCGAGAAAGTGCATACACAACTGCGCATAACACCCTCCATATAGGGAGTGTCAGCTGGAGGGAGAAATAAAGTAACTCCATATGAAATATGCATTAACTTACCGTTTGTCCTTGGAGGATGTTCTGCAGGTGAAAACCAGAGGGAGAGACAGAGAGACTGTTACTCCTCGAAGGGGGAGTATGGCATAGCTTTATATACCCACCTTCATCTGGGAGGGAGTGGGAGTTTTTGCTAGAGAGAAAAATGTGAACCTGACTGACTTGACACTGTTTTGTGCAAACTTACTTATTTGCTTGACATCCTCCTCTGTATTCTTCCATCCTGTGGTGTAGAACAAAGATAATCTAGGAGCACTTTCAAAGTTTTGCTAACCATAAGGTGAAGCCACTAGAGTTGTCCTCGTAGATCTAAGGGACAGCTGCAGTATGGCAGCACTATTTATCTAAGATGGCAGCTGCAATTATTGCAGGTGCTTGTTTACTCAAGTGTAGTGTTTACCAGAGCACAATGGTGACAAACATCATCAGACTATATGTACAACAAGAATGCATCATCCTATTCCAAGGTGTCAGTCTACAGCACAGTGTGTTTATGTGTTGAAACTAGACACTAAAGACTGTCGGCATGTGTACTCCTTGGACTCTGCAACCTCGGCTTTGTTCACTGGTGCGAGTGACCTGTAAGTAGGAGAGAAGAGTAGACAAAAGCAGTGCATAAAATAAAACTCGGCT